CGCGAAAGCGGCGCGATACGGCGAATGACGGGGTCGTGCGGGTTGGTCTGGGCAACGTTCATGTACAAGCTTTCCAACCGCTGAGTGAGAATGTCCATAATCTTGGGAGCGACTTCGCGAATGTCGGGATCCTATACGTTATCAGTTAGCGATATCCTTATCAAAGTCATGAGTCACTGTGCACTTACCCTCAAGTCAACAGTGTGAAGAACAACGTCCAACCATGACAGACGTTCCATCACGTTGGTCTCCAGCGACGAAGTCACAGCAACACCAACAGACAGAGCCACGATTGGCGAGAGACCAGTCAAGTACGAGGGGTTGAGGCGCACAAACAGGTTGTCGAACAGATCGGCCTGCTGGCTAGATTGGAGCCACTTGACGGAGCCCTCCTCGAATCGTCCCTGGCTCATCAACTGAGCAACCTCAGCCAATTCCATCTCCTCCGCAGAACGAGCCTCGACAGGGACAGCGGGGGCGACGGGAGTAGGAACAGTAGGAATGTTGGTCAAAGACGGACGCGCGCTGTGACGACCAGAAGATTCTCCGTTAGGACGGGTGTTCAAAACGTGGTTGAGTCGAAGAACCTCGTTCTGGAAACCAGTCTGTGTCGCAGCCATCGCAGCGACCGTGTCGGACAAGCCGCGAACAAGAGCCGTCAACTGATCGATCTTGGCGGAGTCGTTGTGGCGCTGGATCTCGTACTGCTTCATCTGCGCCTGCACCTGCTTCTCCATGTCGGTTCCAATCTTCTCCGCAGTGCGCAGAGTAAGATTCTTGACGGCGGGACTGATCGTGTTGTTCAGGGCCTTGGACACCTCATGTTCAACTTGAGATCCCAGCTTCTGTGTCACAGAATCCGACAGGACTTTCATCACATCGGGCTGCTGCACAGCACGGCTGACCGCTTCAGGCAGGGCCTGGCGCACCTCACGAGGAACCACGCCTCCCAGCTGCTGGGCCACGATCTCGTTCAACTGCTTGCCAACGGCAGCAGAAGTGACATCAGTGAGGGCAGGGACCACCTCAGTCTGAATGCTGTTGGAAACGATACGAGCCAAGTTCTTCTCCACGTTGTCAGAGAGAGTGCTGGAAACCAGACGCAAGACTTGATCCTGCTTGGCAGCAGACGCGGCATCCCACTTCTTTCGCTCCTCGTCGAAACGAGAGTAAAGTCCTTCGATCTCGCGACCGAGGCTCTGGTTGAACACGCTGGACACGCCGCTCTGCAACATTTCCATATTTTTGTTCCAGAAATCGGTAGAGCCGCTAACACCAGAAGCTCCAAGAGAAGGTAGAGTGGTTGCGGAGTAAGATGGCGGAGGTTCTTGTCTGGACGGAACAGTACGCGTTTCGGTGGGCGCACCTTCAGTGAATGAAACTGTGGTGGCGTCCTTCACTCTCGCTGCACCTTCACCGGTGGCCGCAGTTGTCGCAGCGGCCTTCTTCTTCTTCTTCTTTTCTGGCTTTTCGGCGCCGTTGGTTGTCGCAGTGGCCGCTGGCTCAACTGGCTCCTCTGGTGTCTTCTTCTTCAATACTGGCTTTGTTGGCGACTGGACGCGCAATGGTCCCTCAGCAGCAGCCTCGGGAGTCTTTTTAGCGACCTCCTTTGGCGTCACCTTCGTAGGCGTAGATGCGGCATCGCCATTAACAGAAGGCTCATCCGTAACAGAGTTGGGGAAGGTCTCCAGAGGGTGAGTCTCAATAAAGCCCTCCACAAGTGCATTGACAGGGTGCACGATCTTGTTGTCAGGGCCCCATCCCAGGTCCTCCTTCTTAATGTTCAAGCATGTCACACCGCGTGAATGCATAACGTAGAGCTCAAAGAGGCCGCTATCATCGGAAACATTCTTGTTCATGGGAAGAAGATCAAGGCTGCGTAGCTGGCCCTTGGACGCAAATGAAATCTCGCGGATTCCACTCATGCATGCGGTCGAGTCGGGCTTAGGCAGGCTGCTGTCCCTCTCACTCGCCCGCTTGATGTAAGACGCCTGCGACATGGGCTGCAACGCGTATCGCGGCGCAGACAGATGAATGAAGTAAATCGAATTGCGAGTAGGGTGTCCAACGACAATGATTCCAGAACTGGGGTGGTACGCGACGCTGCAGATGGCGTCCGACTCGTTCTCGTGCGGGAATTTCAGCTCCTGTACAGCCCGGCCAACCCCAATATCCCAGAGCTGCAAGGTGTGGTTCTGCTTCAACCCGACCAGAGCGTAACGAAGCGCGATGGACTTGACGTAGGGGCGCAGCTTGTCAACGAATAAGACGGAAGTCGGCCATGATTTCTCGGTGGGAGAGCCGGTAACGAAAGTGCTCAACGGAACACGAACTTCAGCAGGGGTAGGACCGCTGGTGAAGAAATCTGGGTTATTGATCACGTCCCGGATGTCCCAGAAGCGGAGTCGGCCGGTCTTGTCGAGGGAAGCGATAACAGTGTCATCATCACTGAACATGAAGTCCTTTCCAGCCTTCCCGGTCGAAATCTTCAGGGCGCGTTCCTTGAAGAACTTCTCGGTGTTGACAGTGCGCTGGGAACCCGTAACACCGTAGGTAGGGTCCATCGCAGCATGGGGCGAAATCACGTAAATGTTCTTGCCTCGGCCGATCGCGAAAAAACCGGGGTGACGAGAGCTTCGTTTGGCCCGCGTTTTCAGCTGGCCGCCAGAAGTGTTCTCGTCCGAGGCGGGGAACGGCGGGAAGACAAGACTCTCGCTCTCTAACGCATCCAACTCGAACAGGTCCTTCTCAGGCCTAGAGATCAACGCCCAGTAGACGGTTCCACTGACGCCAATGCCCAGAATCGCCTGCTCTTCTGAGGTACCACTAACGCTCTGGGAAGCAGACAGGGCGGCATTGAACACGCGATCGCGGGTGGAGCGGAACACCTGCTTGTCACTGCCGTCATCCTGGCGGATGATTCTCATTCCACCATTCTTTGCCAAGGCGTAAACGATGTAGTCAGAAGAAGCCGAAGTCAACGAGCGATCGAGCTGGTCGAACTCCTTCTTCAACCGAGCAATGTCCATGATACCGTCATCGCGAAGGGGTGCAAGCTTCCCGGTGTAGGCCTTTACGACAATCGAAATGAAGGGTTTGAGCGGGAAATTGTGGACTTGGACCACACGCTCTTCTTCCTTTGTGACACCGTCCTCAGCGCTGGACTCCCAATTATCCGGAAGCGTGTCGCTAACCTCCTTATTCTGCGTCGTTTCCTTCGCAGCTGGCGTAGTGGTAGTCCCGGTTGTAGTAGCAGTAGTAGTAACGATCTCCTCCTTGACGGGTTCCTTGGCTGTTCCATAGATCGCCTCCTGCTGTGCCTCGGCGGCGGTTTCTCGAAGGTTGGTCGCGATGGAAGAGAGCACCTCCTGGGTGCTTTCTTGTTGGGCAACGGTAACCGGAGGCGCTGAGGTTCTCTCCTCAACGGGCTTGGAACCATCGATTTCGCGACCAATTTCATCCACCATCTTGCCAACCACCTGGGAAATCGCATCCTTCTGTTCCTCCGCAAGAATGGGGGACTTGGTACGTTCATCAGACTGGGGCGTTTCCACCGGCTTGGGAATGTCCATGGGAGGCTCCACCTTCGCAGCAAAGCTCGGCTTCTGGTTCTTCAAGAATTCTACGGCCGGGCTGGCGCTGCGTGACTTGGGATGCGGGGTCCGGTTACGCGGAGACGCCGCCGCCAATTGCTCAAAGGGGTTCACATAGGTGAACAGAGAGTCCTTGGGCGTAGCAACCTTGGGTGTCTGCTGAGAGAAAGGAGCAGTGTCCGGTTTCCCAGACAAAATCTCTTCCACCGGGCGGGCACCGCTCATGAGTAGCTGCTCAGGGTTGGGCGACTTCGCAGGCGAGATGGAAGCCGGAGACTGAGACGCCGACCTCGCCGGTCCTTCATTCACGTCCGGCTTGGAACGGTTGAGCAAACGAAGCAGCATTTCCTTCTCGGGGTTTGGGGCAGTGGATGAGGAACTCTCCACTGCACCTCCACTCGATCCAGGCTGCTGCATGACAGGATGCGCCGCAGCCGGAGCAGCAACACCAGCAGGGCCCTGTCTGCCACCACCAAAAAGCGAAGCAACCAAGTCCGACGCAGAGATTTCCCTCGCGTGGGAAGGCTTGGCACCTCCATCGCCGAAACCAGTTTCCTGGCCGTGGGGCGACAACATCGCAGGCGATGGCGACTGAGTTTGCTGGGCAGAAGCAGCCGCAGGAGCAGCAGGCACACCCGAATTAGACTTGAGCAGGCTCAACAGATTAACCGCACGATCGGGATGCTGAGGCTGCGGGTGTTCCTGGGGAGTAGGCACATTGGAACTGAGAATGTCCGAGCCCCGATGCGGCGGCGTGTTACTCTCAAAAGGCGATGGACTGTGGATAGACGTGACAGACGGGTGACGGTAGCCACCAGGCGCTTGCTGACGCATATGATAAGGCAAAGCCTGTCCATCGTAAGGCTGCTGCTGCTGTTGCTGCTGTTGCTGCTGAGGATGGAATGGGTATTGCGGAGGGTAGGACGCGGTGGGAGCATCCTGACCGGCCGAACTGTTTGACGACGGACGCGGCCTGATACTCGCCAGGAGAGCCTGGAGATCATTTGGGGTGGACATTTCTGTCGCTGCGCCCTGTTTTTCTCTTGTGAAAGAGTATTGGGCGACCTCGTAGTGAAATCCAAACTGGTAGCAAACACACACTCGCGCGCTCTCTTTCGAGAGCTAAAGATGAGGAGGAAAAGTGGCAGTAAAAAAAGCCAAAGGAAGTCGCAGAACGGACGAAGAAAGAAAGAGAAAAGAGGCAAAGGAACGGACTATATTACAGTGGACTAGAAGGTGAAGGGAAGAAGAAGAGAAGTGGAAGTGGAAGAAGAATTATGGCTGAAGTCACCGAGAGAAGAGAACGTGGCGCTAAGCCCGATAGGGTGTGGCTGGTGAATGTGGCTTGACCGAGTAACTGTTTTACAGCGAGTCCTGTGTGATCACAAGAAGAGAGAGTATTATGTACGGAGTATTTAAGGGGAGAGCATCAATTATCAGCAGTCACTGACACCTGCAAAGCTCCAGGAGCTTCCCTACTAAATATATACAGTACAGTCCTCAGCCACCACCGCCACTGCACATTTCTGACGCCATTTCCTCCAGAGCCTCCCATACTCTCTTCAACAACCACCATGTTCTGTCTCAGGAGGTAAGCACCAATCAACCACTCTTAATATAGTTGGTTAGGTACTAATAATCAACAGCTGGCTCCCCCTCCTCTTCATCCCAACCAACGCATCCCCCCTCTTCCTCATCTCCTACGTCGCCCTCACCTACGTCCTCCACCGACCATGCATTTACTGCACCGCGCTTCTGATAATCCTCTTCGCTTCGTCCTGCAACTGGTCTGATCACTGTTTCTTCGATCTCCGCCGTGACTGGTTCTCGCCGCCGTTTGTTTCTTCTGCGAATACTGTGCAAAACACCACAAATGCTGCCACGAGTGCTGGGAATATTTCGTCTCTCTCGCCGGATCAGATGGTTTCGCCTCTCGAGGAAGGAGGATTAGCGGGGTATGTGTTTGAGGCGGTGAATTCGACAACAAAGGCGTTGGCGGGTGCAGCGGTTGAGGGGGTGCAGCGGAGGTTTGCGCTTAATGAGACTGCTTCGACTACTGGTGCTGCTGACGGGCAAGAATGGACTGGGGTTGGACTTGAATGGTTGCGCAGTTTGCTGGGGCGACGGGAATGGACGATTCCGTGCGTGGATGTCAAGGTTCGGTTATAGATTTTAATGGGCTTATATGCGTCTTGAGTCAGGATAGCTAGTTGGATGTTTGATTAGCGTTGGAATTGGCGTCATTCACTGTACATTTTTGCTTTTCCTCAAAATAGATGCACATGCTGATTGTCAGCTATCTACATTACTTCTCTGCAAGATTCATCACATCAATAGCAGCTCGACAACTCATCCTAGTCTCCTCAGTCGCATCCAAATGACCACTCAATTCTCCAAACCTCCTCTTCCAAAGCTCCCACCTTGCAATCGAGAACCCCTTCTCCTTATTCCAGAGATTCTCAGAGACACCCATATCAGAGCACTTGCCCTCCTGACAAGCCATCAAGATCTTGCGCCCACAAACCATAAACCATACCGTGGCAGCTGGCAGCTGGCAGAGAACAGTGAATGATAATCCGATGTTGCTTTATATCCAGTTTGCGTCTCTTGCGGATTACTGTCTCATAAGCACTGCTAATAATCAATAGGGCTTTAGAGTAATAGTTCGTTTTGAACTCGTCCGCAGTGAGGTATTAAGCCAGAGGGTGCGTTGGGGGGGGGGGATCCATGCAGGGTCTCAACTGTCACAACAGTCAACGAGTACAGTAACCGTATTACGAATAGCCTATTAACAAGAATTGAATCAATTTATTACGTACGGGTAGTCAATGCACACTAACGCTCATTCTTTGTCTATTCAGTTGCCGCAGTCAATCCCTAGGTTCGTGTAGACTGATCACCGCTGCCCTAAATCTTGGCCTACATCAACGGCGCTACATACCCTATCGCAGCATTTCTGTAGTCGCCTGCTCTTTAGTCCCAATCATAGCGTCCTCGTAGTAGTAAAATTAATAGGAGTAGACTTTATTAACCAGGATTCAGCCTTGTCCTCTTATTCCGTTTCCCTTCCCTTCTTTTAGGAATGTAACACAAGAACTGTCAAAATGCACCCGTTATCATCATGGTTACTCCTCCTAAACCTATCCTTATTCTTACCTAACCTCGTCCACGCCCTCAAATTCATAAACCCACCCTCCATCACCGAACCACTATCCAACACTGATTACTCCCCAAACCCCGTCTACGCCGAGGGATCCCTCTTGCACATATCATGGGACGAGCAACCCGAAAACACAACCTCGGTGACACTATGGCAGCTAAACGGGACGGAGGGAATGCAGCCGTTTGAGCATATTACTCGTATGCCTCCTTCTCTCTCCCTTCCTTTCCTATGGTATATGCTAATATGTATGAAGAGGACGTCTCAGGAAGCGTAACATCATTTACCTGACCCGTCCAAACGAACAAAAACCTCACCTTCTCGGGCACATTCTACCTAAACTTCTTCAGAAAGGGACCCGGACATTATCAACCAGCCAGCTCTTCAACATCACCCGCAAGGAAACCAACGACGAGTAGTATCGTCACAGGCTCAATCAGCATACCGACACCCTCAGCAACTTCAACACCTGCATCAACTCAGACTCCAAAACCACCGCACCAGCATCAGGTGGCCTAAGCAACGGGGCGAAGACTGGTATCGGCATTGGTGTAGGTGCCGGTAGTCTTCTTATCATCGCCAATTTCGTTTCGTGGATTGTTGCTCGGTGTCAGAGACGCAAGTCGCTGCCGACAGATCCAGGTCCTGCGGCGCATACTGAGTATTATGGACTTGAGAAGCAGCACCATGAGATTGATGGTAGTGGCAAGGATGCTGTGCAGGTTTAGGAGTTGGGTGGTAGGGAACGGCCTGTTGAGCTTCCATAACAACTATGCTATTTAATTGGGTTAAGCCTTTATGGGCAATATTTGTTGAAGGATTGTATATAATACTTGCAAAGACGAATTATGTATAGAAATTTTACAATAGTATTACTATGTATCTGACAACCATCCACCACATTAAATCAATAACAGCGATAAAGTACAATACATCAACAATCGATTATCTGATATCAGAATAAAACTATAAGACAAATAGGTATCTGAGAAAAGTAAACAGCACAGTATGCAACATGATCAAAAGTAGATCAGAGACAAGGAAAATATAACGACGCATATCATGCCAAACATATAAACCACCCTGGGGAGTATCAATAGGGCAAATAAGTGTCGACAATGAAAGGTCAAACAATGTGGTATCAAATATCAAACAAATAGAGGTAGAGGAGGTCGGATCCATCATGGACTCCATGGCGCATTAAGTAAGACAGATAAAGGGCGTCTCGAAAGAGACGTCGCGTGAAGGATCGTAAGAACGGAAATATTATGCTCGAGCCAAGCCGGTTTTCTTTTTCTTTTGTCGTTTTCTGTCGTTTTGCTCACAAAGAGGTGATCAGTTGTAGCCGGTACCCGGAGTCACAGGCAATGGCCAGTCATCCTCTGTGATGCTGCTCCAGAAGGTCCAAATCATGACTACCGACAAGAGGGTGAAAAAGGTTTCGAACAGGGCGCCATTAATCCTTCCGTCTGTCGCACTGCAGAGATGCACACTGATCACGTAGTTGAAAATCTGGCCGATTGCAAACAGCAGACCAGCGGAGGTCAGGTAGACTGTAACCGTTAGAAAATCACTGACAAATTCGAGCAAGATAACATACCCATTGGTCGGATCTCGCCCAAAACCCGAATGACCAGGATCGACTCCAATACATAGAAAACAACGACACATATGAGCGGCCAGAGCTGGTACAGGACGTAAAGGGCGATATTCCGATTGAGAGATTCCCAACTGTGGTTCCACTGGCCGGTCCACTTGAATCCCGTGTCCAAGGCAATGTATCCGGTTCCGATAAAGAAGATCAGGGAAGATGCGATCATCAGGAAGATGGAAACAGGCGTGCCATCATCAAGAACCTGATACCCAACTGCGGCGTTCAACATGAGAATCCAGCATGCGGTAGTAATGGAAGCGATGTGTACAGCCGTGAATCCCTAGTCGGCGTCAGCGATATTTCAACATGCAAATATAAACCAAATACCAACCTTGCGAACGGCATCATCAAGCGGAAAACCACCAACGGTAAAGATTTCACAAATCTCAACAACAATAAACGCAACTAGGAACAATTGCATCTCCCTCCTCCCCACAGCCGCCTTTTTGCGCTCCGACCGCCATACCAAGAAAAGCGAAACAAGAATCGAGATGAAAGCGAGAAGGATCGATCCGAGGTTGGCGAGATGTCGGCCACCGCTCAGGGGGATACCCGTGAGGGCACATCCGCCAAAAACTTCGTTTATGGGTCGACTGGTATCATTCGTGAAAAGCTGCGCAAGTTAGGACATGGTTCCTTTGTAGTTATTCTTTTTGCGAGGGCATAGGAGCGTACATTGCAGACGGGTAGTGTCGAATCCCGACAAAAGTCCTATCGCACCGATCCAGTCAGTCTCCGTGTCCGGCATCCAACATTCCATTCCTCCCAAAGGCTTCGATAAATGTCCGACTCACATGAAAGTTACCGAATTGCGTCGACCCCATGGTGATAGTAATAGAAAATTAAACGATCGATATCGTCAAGGGCCTTTGTTGATACTCGGACCCGCGCTGAGGACCGGGACGATCGCTCGGTCGCGGATCTGAGGCGAAAGTAGAGTCGAGGCTGTGATGCAGAAAGTCGTGCAGTGCAGTGCAGTGGCAGTGATAGAGGCAGCAGGGGCCGTGTAGGACGAGCGCGTGCGGGTAGAAGTGGTCGAGATAGTAATAGTGTGGTGGTTGGTGGTAGTTAGTGTTGGTAGAGTAGGAAATGTGCTGGAAGAGGACGAGAAGGCAGCAGATTTCCGAATAGGATCCGGTACCGTATGTAATTTGAGTTAAAATTTTCAATAAACGAGGGATATTGGTAATACAACAAATAACTGGATTTGGAAATCCTTAATCTCGAGGGGAAAACGAGAGAAGAGAGAGAAAAGAGAGAGTGAAGAAAAGCGAAAAAGAAACTAAACTAAGACAGAGGGGGATGGCCGTATGGTAAGTAATGCATTACGGTAAATTACTAGTCGCTGGGCAGGAGAAAAACGGTTGATTCAGATTATTCTCTTTCCTTGCTGCTATCTTAGCCCGAAGTCCAAAGACCTGGTCTGTTCCTGGACGTTCCATGGTTACCGTGTTCCGTGGTAGCTATTTAAAGATACCGTCCGATACGTTGGGCACGGTGGCGACATACTTACCTGTGTACATTTCCAGTACGGACTAATGTTGTAGAAAACAGTAGAATTAATATTAGAGTACAAGTAAACGATAGATGCAGAGTACTTATACCATAGTGGAAAGCATAGTGCAGATGTACTTTTGCATCGTACATGGACTCGGGGGGTACCTACATTATCCACTCTGATCTCATAGCTATTCGATAGTCTCCGGCCCTTGCGCCGTCTCAATCTTCGATTTCGATTGCTCCGAGTTAAAAGAAAGTTCATTCCGTGAAGATTATTCTGTACAGAATGTTTACAGGAGGGTACGACTAGGAAAAGGAGATAGAGTTAAATTATCTACTAAGAGCATGACTCGAATTTGAGAACTTCCTCAGAAAATACGTACGAGAGGATCGTCACAGCATGCAGAATGGCCTTGGCTTAATTCTCCATGGTGATCATGATTTAATCCTGCAGTTCTAGACATATTTTTTCCTGCCGGAAGATATATCCCGTCTAACAAACATCCTCAACCTCCATATTCTTCCCATCATGCTCTCCCAATTCAATCTTCAATGTCCGTCCAAACAACTCCAGCAGCATCTCAAAGCACACCTTGGAGATTGCCGGGTCGTATCGTCCTTTGCTGAGTTCGTCCCGGATAAATGCATCTAGTTTAGCGTAAGTTAATATGTCAGCATGTCGTCTCACTTGCATACTGTGTGACGCAAAAAGAGAAATGACATACGCTGCGCCCATGCCACCTCATAGAAGCCGAATAACACTCCTTTCTCATGCAAGGTCTTCCGAATGAGATCGCGTCCTTCGGGAGGAACATGCGTGTCGTTTTTGCCGAAGATCTATGCTTGTCAGCACTTGGCCAATGAAAAACTGACAGGACGGAAAAGATGCCTACCATAAGCAACTCCCCCTCGATATCCCCCGCCCTCTCCAAACTATCATCCTTCTTTCCCTCCGCCAACGTATGGCTATGAACATCCGTCGCAAAATAGCAAACCGACGCCTTCACCCTCTTATCCAACGCACACCGATAAGCCAAATGACCCCCCAGGCACATCCCCGTCGCGCCTACGTGGCCATTACACGTCGGCAACGACAGTAAGTAATCAACCGAAAGGGATGCGTCCTCATCGTAGGCGGCGAGTTTCTTGGTGATTTTCCATTTGTTGCCGGAGTCGGTGTCTTCGGCGTTGTATTGGAGGGGTTCGGGTCCGGTGAATTCGTGGTAGCTCGAGGGGGCTGCGCAGATGTAGCCTTGTCCGGCGATTTGGCGGGCGAAACGGGCGACGGGGCCGGTCACTGCGTTGTAGCTCCTGAGTATTGAGGCTTGTAGATGGAGTGTTGGGATGTAGACGTACCCTGGTAAATCTCACTGAACACCACTACACCTGGGAAGCGTGCCTTGGGGTATCCTGGGATAGTTGGGTGGAAGACATAGATACCTGCATATAGTAGCATCAGCTTCTGCCTCTGTCGTAAATTGTTGAATTGACAAGCAAAGCTAGCACATACGCATGGTCCCCTTTCCATCCGCCTTGGTTGGGACATCGACGTAAGATTCTTGTATCAACATTGTGTTGTGCTGTTAATTGTACTGTCTGTGAGACCGAAAATATATCAATTCCTCAATTAGCTGAAGAGAGCTGGTTGAATTGAATCCGGTGCAATGTCGTTTATCGCAGTGATGTCGATAAGATGTGGGGTCGAGGGGCAGTCATGTGATATTAATACAACTCCAGAGCAATACCCAACAGTATGATTAACAACTATGTAAATATCTCATCCGGTATGTAGACGAGAGCCTCCAAAGAATAGCATTTAATAATATACAGGAAAGGGAAGGGAAGTAACACAGGTAATGACCCGAAAGCAGAACCCCGGCCCATAGCAATGACAATGTAGAAAGTTAACAGAGGGGGAATTGAAGCTGGCATTGAACGAAATCAATGCAAATATTACAGCATTTATATAGGGCTAATAGACATAATAACATCGAAGAAAGTGAATTCATGTAGCATTGGACAGCTCAACGGCTGGAAACGGCTGCCGTTGGCGTGTTGGCTTGAGTCCGTGCTTAGAAGACGTACTAAATTAAAGTCAGTACCTAAACAGCCATAAATCCAAGAAAAAAATGGGGGCTTACAGGAATGAACAGGTAGGGAACCTGTCTCTCGTACTCAGCCCAAGTCTCACCGTACTTGTTCCGGCAGCGCTGGATATCACGCAGAGCACGGTGGCTGATCATGCACGCAAAGAACAGAGGGTAGAACCACGGGAACGGGCTGTCAAAGCCGGTAATAAGACCCCAGTTCAAGGCAAAGTACAGATCGCAGGTGTAGTGGATCTTGCGAGCCTTGCCATACCACCCATCGACCATGATCTTGGAGCCATCGGCAGCAGTAAGGGTCTTGGGGTTCTGCACAGTCTGCCACGGCAGCTGGGGGAAGGTGTTACGGAAAACCATGGTGCCACGCTCCATCTGGCGGAAACGGTTCTTCTGGCTGTTGGTCGTGTCCCAGACCCAGTACACGAACAGGTACGCGGCGTAGAGGAAGGCCAGGAAGTAGCGGTTCCAGTGGTAGGTCGAGGGGTCGTGGTTGGCAAGGTAGATAGTGCAGTGGCAATAGCTCAGAGGCACACCAGCCAGGTTCCAGAAGATCAGCATGAAGCCCCATTTCTCGTAGTACATGTCCCTGCTTCTATTAGACTCTTTTTCATAGTAGCAAAGCATGGAGAAGACCTACCAAGTCGACACAATGCACTCCTCACCCTTGGAGCAGGCATTGGCATACAAGAAATGCGCCAGCAAGAGGAATCCAACCTCTCCAGAAACATAGCCGTAGTTCTCGTACTGTCTGGCCGCAGCACCCATCGAGATGAAGAACAGAATGTACCACGGAAGACGGACTTCAAAGAACATCTTGAAGTCCAAGACGTCAAACATGCGCGGGTTGAGTTCCGCACCCATGAAGAAATCGTAGATGGGATAGCCACTCATCCGGTGCTGCGCTCCACGGATCAACGCAGAGAAGTACGCAATGAACGACACAATGAAGCCAGACAGAATGGCCACGGTCAAAAGAGGCCCGAACTCGTCGATCACGGTGTACAGCTTAAAGATACCAGTGAAGTGGAGGACCAACGACAGCGCAATGTTGAAGTACCACGAGTAAAGAGCGGAGCAGTAGTACTCCAGCTGCTTACCACCGGCGTGGGGAAGAGGACGACCCATAACCTTGATACCAGGCATGAGTATGTAGCACACACCCTCGAAGATGAAGAAAGTCCAGTAAATCCTCCAAGCCCTGAGTGTCGGGAACGCGCCCTCATACACCAGGTTTACCATGTGCAAGAAGAAATCCGACATGCTCTGTCCCTCAGCCGGACGAGGGAACTTGCCCTCGTAGTAGATGGCGCCAATCCACATGTACCACATCAACACCGGGAATCCCAACATCATCGCCAACACTCCCCAGGAACCACCAAACTCGAAATGTCCACTGTAGTCGACTTTAGGATCCATTCCCTCAGCCCAGCCATCGACGATGTGTTTCTTCTCGGTAGAGCCGTTGGAGTGGCCATTGACCTTGACCGGTGTCTTTGGCTCTTCCTCCTTCACCTCCGGCTCTGGCGATTCGGTCTCATCCTTGGGTGTTCCGCGGGTGCGTCGTTGCGTCGACGACTTCGATCTTGCAGTGGCTTCGGCGGTGGAATCGGAGACATCGTCAGCGCTGTTTTCTACACTGCTGCGTGTCACTCGACGACCACCAGGGGTCTGGATATAACCGGGGCGGTCGATTTTCCTAGCCATTGGAAAGCAAATGTGAGTTGCAATGAACAATGAATAATGGCCAGAGTATCCAGAGTGTTTGCAGGTGAATACACAGGTTTCAAAAAGGGGGAGGCGAAAAGGGTAAACAATCGTCGCAAAGTGATTTGTTTATTTTTCTTCATTACTTTTGCACCGGCCAAAGCGCACTTACCTGGGAGTTTTCCCCGTTTGGGACCGTGTAATAGTCATGATCTTCAGCTCTCCGGCTCAATTGATAATAATAACAATAGTATTGAACGTGAAGAGACCGTGTCTCGGGAGTGAAAAGAGAATAATCGGTGAAAAGCGAGGGGGAGCGGAACCACAACAGAATAATAAGTTGGCCAGTTGGAGATCGGCCGTGCGTCTGCCGAACCTTGGGTTCGATCCTCTTAATCGCCACGGTTGAATACACTTGTAGTACGGAGTAGATATTGCTTTTTATATAAAGGACAAGTGTACAATTGGATTCTTCAATTAGTGCCTTACATTGGGCAGTGACAACTGGTTGTACTAATGTACTTGTATGCTATGATTATGCATGTACTCCGTACATCACTGCCGATGAATCCTCCGAAAGGGACTAGAGGACAGTGATAATGAATTCAAATCGCTCTCTCTAGTCAATACCTAGGGAGGTCGATGTAGACAGTTACAATATGTATGAGATACAGTGCTTGCAAAACCCGGACTCCGAAATCCATGCTCCTCTTCGTAAACAAAACCAGATCCGACCAAATGCTCCGAATATTCTCCAGAATGAATCAACTATAGAAAGATAATGAAAAAGACCTCCGTCATGCTCCTCGCCGAACGTTCGTCGACATAAGCGTAATCTTCTTGTTTTTCTTTTTCTTGCCGCCACCAGACGATGAAGCATTGTTGCCCTCCGCTGCAGCTGCGGTCTGAGCAATCAATTCACTCTCCTGTTGAGCTAGCAGTTCGTCTTCCCAGCCATGAAACCATCCATCTTGAGAAGCTCTAGCCTGTGAGTCCTGTGGCTCCGATGATGGAATAGCTGTTGTTCCCCAGACCGTGCGAGCACCCGGAGGACTCGTGGCGGGCGACGCCAACGCTCCAAACCCAGATGATGCTTGAGGAGGGGAGGCAGAAGATGTGCCCATGTCAAACAGCGGAGGATCATCGGCACTGCTGGCCAAAGGTTGGAAATCACGATCTGAGAAAGGGCGATCACTGATAGTGCCAAAACTCGGCCTCTTACGGCGAACAGCGGACCAGCGCTTTTCATCCTCCTCCCTCTCAGCACGGATCCGGTCCTTTTCTTCCCGGGCCTCTTTGTCTTTGTTTCGTTTTCGCCTCCTTTCCGTCTCTGAGCGAAAAGGTTTCAGGACCTCAGGCACTACCACGTCCCTCCAGTCACATTCCAGGAAGTTCACTTCACACCCGTGTGGAAGATGGCCAAGGTATTTAACTCGTTTCCGCAAATCGTCATCAACGACATGCCCGGTCGAAATATGCTCCACTCGAGGTAAAATAGTTGCAGGGAACAACGAATAGTCACCGAAGGCAGCTTTGAGAATGCGGATATCAAGGGGGGACAGGTAGAAATGAGGCAGTGCCTGATAGAAGTAAAACGGATGGTCGGATGAGGATTGTGTTGCCTGCTTTTCCGGCATCTTCTGTTTCGATTTGGCCGACGCTGATTCCAGATTAACATTATCCATCGCTCCTATCAAATTCTCTACACCATTAGTTGTAGCTTGTGTATCTGATAACCCGACGGAGTCTGCTGAAAGGCTTTGACCAGACTTCGCAGCATGCTGGGCCGCATACATCACGGCAACTTCGTCAGGCGGTGGTCCAACCGCAATTGGCTCCCGAGCAGGTATCTTTGTCGCTGGTTCTCGCGAAATGTCCGGCGGGTTCCCTATGCCTCGAAGTTTCTCTTTAGAGTCAGTGATTGCGGAGACCGCTTTCTGAGTCCAGGTCGTCTCATCTCCGAACAAAAGTTCATCTTCAGCCTCCTGTCTACGGAGATCCTCAATCTCCGCATCATGCTGTGAAGCCATGTAGTCTTCGCCTCCCTTCATCATTCGAGCATAGTCTATAACCTCCGCGGCATGAAACCAAGGGACGTCCTCCTCCGGGCCCAGGCCTTCAGCGCCATCGCGTGGTAGTGCTAGAGTATTGCCGGTTTCTCTTTTCATAAGCCTCAATACGACGTCGCCACCTTCAATTGGAAGATCCCCTTCCTGGCCACTAAACCATCGGACTGGACGAGTCTCAGATACGTAAATCGAATCATAACAGATAGGACACTTCTTCCAGCGAGCCTTCTTCTCGGAAACCGGGTTCTCCTCATCAGCCGCATACATGTAACGAATCAAACACGGAAGACAAAAAATATGACCGCATCGAGCCATTCGCGGTGCTACCGGGTTCGATAAACAGATCGGACAGCTAGCGGATTGGGTTTGAGACCATACTAGAACCTGAAGAACCGAATCCCAGTCCAAGTGAACGTCTGCATTGGCCGCTTGCGCATTGTAGCTTCGATTCGGGGCCACAATGAATCGATAATTTGCATGAACATAGTGCGCTTTGTCTACCGCATGATATCCGGAGCCCAGGCCCCAGGTCCGATATTGGCGACGAGTGCGTGGGGGGGGTTGATACTGAGGGCGAGGAGGAAGGGAAAAGTTCATCAAATGGGTAATGGAGGTTTGCCCCTTACGACTCGTTGTCGACTTCATGGCGGCCTATGCATTCATAGCTAGTTAGACTCGGCTTTCCCCAACAATGCTTAGCGTATGCGGCGACACCTACAGCCTCACTATACTCATCGTCATCCAACAACCGAGGACGTTGGCGTCTATGCTGATTCTTCCGGGATTGATTGTTCCTTGGGGTGTTTGAATTTCTCGACGACAATCCTGCTCCAAAGCTGCCAGAACCTCCTTGCCGTCGCTGATATCCGGCGTCAACCGAAGACGGGGGGTGGTATGTCGCAGAGGTCGACTGATTCGGGATATTCAGCGGCTTGGAAGATGAAGCTTGACCGGAATTCGACGACATTTCCGTAGGCGTCCGGGATTGATAGACAATTGCTGGCTTCCTCTAGTGTTATTGAGAGGCAAAAGGAGGGCAGTGAGGATGACTCGGAATCAGGGCCACCCGCTTTGCTTAGACAACCCCAGGTCCCACCAGCTTAATAAAATAACAGACAGTAATAAAACCTCATCCAGAGGCACAGTAAGAACAATGGCAATGTATTTTCGTTCCCTTTGAACCCCGAAGGGCGATAACAAGAGCGAGGACGAGAATCCTGTACTGGACTGTGTCTGCCGGCGAAAAGAGGCGGCGACGAGGGGCGAGACGAGACGGTAACCTTACTGTACGGTATGGTAACTCGATACAGCTATGTCATGGTCTTGGCTCCCTTGGAGCCTCAGGCATGTACACGCCCAAAAAACATCATCTCCTCCCGTCCATTGATTCACTGCTTTGTGCTCGCCTGCCTCTCTCTCTGTCGCCGTCTTGCCTCCTCGTCCGGGTGTTTGTGTTGGTTGGGAATCAGAAGGATTAGATTGTCTCATTTCTCAGTTCTTTTCGTCGGAAACGAAGAAGAAAAAGGAACTGTGTTATCATTAGCTATTCTTGTGACCAGGTTGGTAACTGCATAAGACCACCCTCCGCCCCGATGTTTCGCGCAATACAAGCTGTTCAAGAGAATGGAATGAAGTCTAACTATTTTCTTTCAGCTCGCAGATTCACTTTACCGTCAGCAGCTCGCGTTTCTCTGACCTCCGGGGTTAGAATGGCTGCGTAGACGGACACCGCTCCTCGTCCCTGATCCTCGACGCTTAAAGTGGTTCGCATGGCTCCCATAGAGGCAACGCGTGGCTGAAATATCCAAGGCGACTTTCCTGACGTGCCTGGAAGACGATGAACATGAACCATCATCTGCCCGCAATGCCCCATGGGCAGCCGCCCATGCCTCCTCGGCGGCAGCAAGACCTTCCTTACGCTACTGGCCCTCCCAACATGCGGTCTCCGCCAGCTTATATGGGTTACCACCTCCATATGAATGGCCACCCGCCGCCCCCGTATTCACCTCATCAATATCCTCAGTGGTACCCGGCTTATCCTCAAATGCAAATGCCTCCCCGACCATATCAACCTCCGTACGCCGCCACTCCTATGATCGTGTCTTCGTATCCTCCGACCCAGCCTATTATGGCGCCGGCCCATATTCCGCCCCCATCGCTTCACCTACAACCGAGAACTTCAACTCCTCTGCAACCCGCCATGTCTCCTGTGCCTCCTCCGATGGAAATGCAGGAGCCCCCTCCTGTCATTAGTGCACCTGTCAACCCCTCTCCGGCTCCGCCAGCGTCCTCGCCACCCACCGCTCAAGGAGGAATCAAAGGTATTCCATACTTTCCTCCTCTTTCAGGCCCGTTTCGCGCGCCGGTAAGTGCTCCAGACTCCTTTTCGGCATGCGGGTTTTCTGACAACAAATTCAGGTTCCCTGGCTTTCTGTGCCCGAAAAGCCGTTTCCGCCCCGAGCCCCGCGCAAACGCCGGACAAGAGCTCGCACGTTGCAGTCTGCTGCGGTTGAGCTTCCTGCCAAACCAAGCCAGGTAGTAGAGAAGCGGGACACGCCTAAGCGTGTAGAGACGACCGCTCAAGAACTCTCTGAGCCGCAGACCCCGATGTCTGCTGGTCCGTCGGATGCCAACTCAACCCAGCCAACGACGCCTTCTTCCGCCCCTCAGGGACAGTCCGCTCGCCCTCAACACCAGTCGAAATTATCGAAGCCAGCTGTTCCTGTGATTCCTGTGGTTCCCGTCGTTCCACCTGCCGCAGGCACTCCCCGTCAACCGGCAAAGGATGATTTTACTCGTGTATCCGAACCACCAAAGTCTAACGCCACCGTTGAGAATGCACCTGCCGAGCCCGCTCAAGCCCAAACTGACGCGACCACATCGGAGGAGCCTACAAAACCATCATCGCCTCCTCGCGCAGCACCGAAGTCATGGGCGGACCTAGTTCGGGAGAAGTCAGCGGCAAAGGCCGCAGGCGCTCCACTCAGCACTTCCACGGAAGCCAACGGTTTGATGGCGCACAAGAGGAAGTCTCTTGCTGATGTTTTGACGACTTTGGGTGAAGATGTTGCGCAATACGGTGACAAGGTTGCGTTCCTGGAGCCCAGAGGACTTGTGAACGCTGGAAATATGTGCTACATGAACTCTGTTCTCCAGACCCTTGCTTCATGCGTGCCGTTCTACCGCTTCCTAGACCACTGCGGTCGTCAGGCAACTCACAGCATCCAAAGTGATTTCCCGATGGTTGATGCTATGATCATGTTCTTGAAAGAATTCCGTATCATTGATTCTGCTCAATCGGAAGAACAACTAAGGCTACGTCTGAAGCCAAATGAACTGGAAGAGTATGGTGATGCATTCATTCCAGAGTTTGTTTATGAAGTGATTAGGCAATTGCCACGCTTCCGAGACATGCGGCGAGGTCATCAGCAAGATGCGCAAGAGTTTTTGGGCTTCCTTCTGGAGGAGATGCATGAAGAGTGTGCTCGTGCCGGGCAGCATACCTCGACAGCCAAAGCGGAATCTCATGATGATGAAGCCTCTGCAGGCGGTCAGGCTGATGGATGGCTGGAAGTTGGCCACAAGCAGAAACCTGCGGTCACACGGTCTACCGGAGATATCGGCCAGGACACACCAATCACTCGGATTTTCGGTGGAAAGATTAGATCAGAGTTCAAAGTTCCCGGGAATAAGACTTCTGTGACTTTGGAACCTTACCAGTCACTCCAGCTCGACATTGGGTCTGCTGATGTCCAGAACATCGTTGATGCCCTCAAGGGTTTGACCAAGTCGGAAAACATCCAGGGTGATTTTAACTCGTCGCGCGGTCCTAATGTTACAGCGACCAAACAGATATTCATTGAGAGTCTACCACCTGTCCTCATTCTTCATCTGAAGCGCTTCCAGTACGACAGCGTGACCCAGGGCACGCAGAAGATCTGGAAGAAGATCGGGTACCCGCTCGACCTTGAGATCCCTCGCGAAGTTTTCCCGCCCCACAGACGTAATGTTCTGATGGCCCACGGTGGTCTTCCCAAATATCGACTTACTGGTGTTATCTACCACCATGGAAAGAATGCCAGTGGCGGTCACTACACGGTTGATGCCCGACGTCAGGATGGTCGGCAGTGGATTCGCCTTGATGACACTGTTATCCGCCATGTCAGAAGCGAGGATGTCGCCGAAGCTGGCTCGGAGGAAGACCCGAAGGCACTTGCTGCTGTACTAGAGCAGCACAAGCGTGACAAGGATCCGAACGCCAACATTTACGACCACATTGACCAGATTGATGCTGAACATATCGACGAAAGAGGCTGGAGTCAAGTCAACGGGACAAGTGGAAGCGGTTATTCTAGCAAGAAGTCCACATCCGCTAGCCCAGCTCCATCGGCTTGGACCCCGAGGACTGAATTGCGGGACAATAAGGTCGCCTACCTGCTGTTCTATGAGCAAATCGCATGAGCCTAGCGGTTTTCGAAGTGCAGATGGCCTCTAATGTCAACACGAAACGACAAAAGAACCGAGAAACGAACCTTGTCGGCGTCGCTTTAAATCTATCCGGCCCATATGTATGGTGGGCCCTCTATTATCAAACTCAGTGATCTTGATCTCATGATAGACCAGGTTACTTTGTTATTTTCCTTTTGAACTGTTTCTTAAAACAATTGCATAAACTTGATGTCGCATACCGGCTGGCTCTCGTGGCGTTAATGCTACTTGGCCCATGCTGGTTGTACATATGGGGTGATATTCGCCATGGCGAATAACCAGTCTACGTGATTACGAACCTTTGATACATGCCATCGGTGCATAATGGAGGCAGAGTGCCGATGGGGAACTTAATGGCCTGCTGGGCGGACACGGCTTCTAGCTCCCCCGGGCTCTGTTTCTACGGAGATTTGAGGGTCTCCTTTGCACCCGATTACCAAATCTATTGTTCTCTTTCAATTGCTTTCGATTGATTTATTGGCATCTTATACCTTTTATTTTGCTCTAGTTACCTGCATCTTTTCCCCTTTTCGTTCGTGATAATACTTCGTTGCTCTTCCCTTTTTGTCCTTTTTATTTCTCCTCGTGTTCTTGTTGCTTGTTTCTATTTTTTCGTTCATGCTGTTGATATTTACTGAGTTGTACGCGGAGGAACTTCGGTCTGGTATATACCCCATTTTTCCTTCGCATAGCCTTTTGGTTTTGCCATCCGGCAGTTGGGGTTTTGCTTGTTTTTTGCTTTGATGTGCGACGCGGATGGCATACTCACGACTGCATGAATGTTTTCTTTTATCGTCATAGACATACTATCAGAGACAGGGGATGTGTCGTCGGCAATCGGCGGAATGAGGGTTTGCATGGAAAGGAAACACGGAGGCTCTTTACACATGGGTATGAGTCGACCTGGATGGATCTTGGTGGATGGAGCGATGTCTGTTTTGTTCTGGTTCTTTTCTCTTACTTTCTAATGAGGAATGTGTACCCTGGTTAGTATCGGGTGGGTTGATATGGGATGATATCTAGACGGTCAAGGGGGGACGGTCTGATTATGAGGTGGTTTACAAAAAGGGACGGATGATGATGGATAGAGTTTATGAAGATCAAAAGTGCGTTTAGCAGAGAGGTCAAAAAAAAGTTGAAGAGAACTCGATTGCCTGTATTATTCTATTCTACTCAGTACTGCTCACTCCCCAACAATCGTAGTATTCGTTGCACTGTTCCCGCTATGCATATCCGTGAACCCAGCAACAAGCCCCCTGAAGTTTTCATCAACATTCCCAGGCCCAGGCACAAATCCCGGAGACTCCATCTGTCCCGACACCACGCGTAGAATCTCCTCAACCTGGTCATAGTCCGGGGTCGTCTGGTTCTGTCTCCGCCAGGCAACGTGCGTGTCCGGACGAACAAGCACCATATCCCTTCCTTCATAGATGCGATAGACATGCTCCTCATTACGGAGAAAGACCCGTTTCAAAGGGAAGTTCATGTCCATGGAGACAGTCGTAAAAGCCCCGCTTGCACGTTCTTCTTGGTTAGGGTTGTCACCGTTGATGAAATGGATGAGCGTCCACTCCGGACCTTTCCCGAAGAGATCATAAGTACTAGTCTCCCCATCTTTCAGGAAAACATGCGGTGCCCGACATCCGGGCCTGGTACTGGGGATATACCGTTGCACATCCCATTCATGCTCGTCTGAGCCGTCATGGTATACCAGGGGAGAATGCTCGTAGTACCGCAGGTCAAGCTCGATCCCCAGGTCTATCGTATCAGGCCCGGAGTCATCAATAAACTGCTTTATCTGGGCACGAGCTTCCTCGCCCGCTGGTGTATCGGTCTCGAGTACGTCTGCACTCTTTGAATACATCTCTCCGAGTCGAACATGCTCGAGTAAATGGCGCAGGGAGCGTTCCAAAGCACGAGTCATCATCGGCCTCCGCTCGAGGTTATACGCTCGCAGAAGAAGCTCACCCCCATATCCCTTATAGAGTGCTGCAAGCCTCCAGCTAAGATCAAAAGCGTCCAGAACACCGGTGTTCATCCCGTACCCGCCAGGCGGTGGTGATCTGTGCGCTGCATCGCCGGCAAGGAGGACCTTCAGACTGTCTGTGTGATACTTCTCCGCTATACTGAAGTTTGGTGTCCACTCGCTGTGCACAAGCACCTCATCGATTTTGACCTCACCGTCCAGAGTGCGGTAGACTACTTCACGGGGGTCGATTTTGGTACCCGAAGGCAGCTTGTTCACTGGGTAATGCGCAGTAAAGGTATCCTTGCCATCTTGGTCAATAATGAAGCCGGAATGGATGGGAAAGGTGTGCCAGGAACGGCCGAAGGTGAGCTTTTCTGCGAGTTCCTGGGAGCGAAAGTGGACAAGGTAGAAGCGAGCTGGCCTGTCAACAAGTTAGTGCTTTTTCTCACTCAATGTGATATATCAGGTTGCCTTACATCTGCCCGCCGATCATCTTAATCCCAGCTGTCTTTCTCACTCTGCTACTGCCTCCATCACAACCGATGAGGTATTTACTGCGAACAGTGTGCGTCTGTCCATCTGTATCGACGAAAGTCGTAACGACACCATTTCCATCTTCAACATGGGACAGATACTTCCAACCAAATCTACTCTGTACTTGAGTTTTGGTCAGGATAAGCTCCTTCATCCAGGCTTCGACAATAATCTGCATGCATCTATGACCTGGTTCTGCAGGCTGACTGCCGTCATTCGTTTGCTGGATATATCTCCGCTGTTCCTTGACTGCTGGTCGTTTCTACAACACATCAGCTTCTTTCCTGTTTTGAACCCATTAAAGCAGAAAACCAACCCAAGAACCTAATAACTTCCCATCCCCCATCGCCCTCGTAACAAAAAACGAGTCAAAATACATATCTTCCCCAACACTCCCCTCAATACCCCGGTACTCATCCGCAAGACCAAGAACCCGCAACATCTCCATAACCCGGGGGTTTGTCAGGTCCATTTTCGGCCATTTGGTGGTCTCCAAGCTTTGTTCTGCGAGGAGGCACGGGACATTTAGGCGAGAGAGTTGGTAGGCGAGGAACATGCCGACGGGGCCGGCCCCGATGATAGTGATTGGGGTTTCTTCCGGGGGCTGTGGTATAGTCATTTTTGTTGTGTGGCTGCTAATACGAATTGTACATTTATGTTGAGAGAGGGAGAGAAAACCCTTTTTTGTTAGTGTCGGCGGCTTTTTCAATATGACAGGTATGAGGGACACGTAATATTACACGATGGGTCCTTGGGCGCTAGCAGTCTCGTGTTTTTTTTTTTTTTGATCTGCGATATCAAGTTTCTTTGTTTCAAGTTCAAAGGATTAGGGTTTGGCTGGTATGGCCAATTTGATAGCCAAGCTATGAGTGCGATCGAAGTATGTATTGGTAGTATAAGCTCAAGCATCAATGCGCTGACCCAGACTCCAGCTCTTTGACGCCGGCAGTAGCCGAATCCTATTCAAAGCCGGATCAAATCTTTGTCATTCATATAGGTCAATGAGTACGAAGTCTGTGGCTGGCGTTCAGAGAATAAGAATCATAAACAAAGAGTATCCATTTATCTATGTAATAGGATCACATGAATTGTAGGCGAACGTGTATGTTCAAAATATCCAGCGATGAACTGGACCTATTTACTTGTTGATTTTGTAGTGGCAGCGGCGTAGAAAACAATTGGCTGTCGCCCGGCCTACTACTGTCACTCACTGCGAAGGTTAGGAACCGGCGTGATCGCAATAGCATGATGCTCCGCTTCATGAGTAACCAAATTCACCGGTCTCTCCGGCTCCTCAAGAATCCCCGTCCCCGGTTGCTGGTGACTTGTCGGAGACTTTGGCCTAATCACCGAACCCCCAATCTGGAAAACGGTGGGCTGAGGCGTTTCTCGTGGATTGTCGCGCCGTCTTCCTCGACTTCCAGCATCCACAATCGGTGTTGCCGTGCTATGAGTATGGCGAATGTTTACAATAGGAATCGGCTCCGGGTCGTGCGTAGTGGCGCTGCTGAGTGCGCTAGAAATCGTACGGGGAAGGTTATATCCTGCCTTTACCAGGGGAATCGAAAGACCGTGGACAACCTGTATTCCGTTAGTTCGTAGCAACATACAGTGAATGGTTCTAACATACGATACTGCAGATAACCAAGAACCAAACAACCACCTCAGCGGCTTCTGCAACCTGTTGTGCGTCCTCCCTAACCTTACCCTCGACGGTGATCTTGAGCAAGAACTCCCGACAGACGGATAGGTAGAAGACTGCTCCAACGCCGATGGGCCCGAAGAAACCGACAAAAGCCGCTTGGAATTTGTTCTCTATCTGTTGGATTGATCTGTGCATCGCGAAAATGATTGGCACCCGGCGAACTAGGAGAACCAAAATTCCCAGGAAAATGAGACGGTAAATGGGAATGATGTTGTTGTTTGCAAACAATGACCATGGACAGACAGCCCCGAACCACATGAAAATTGCCAGGTTCAGAAGCATATCGATAGTCGGTTGTAGCGAGTCGTCCAACGTCGCAAGACGGAACCAGTCACTTGAGAGTCAGTTGGTTTGTTGCACAAGTAGTGATAAAGACTTACTCTTGAGTAAAGACATTCCCGGCCACGAAGCAAGCTAGAAGATCGTCTGTCCCAATCAAGCCACATGTTCCCATGATGAAAAGCTGTGATCTGTGTTAGCAAAAAAATACCAATTCAGCGGTGCTGATCACCTACCGCAAGGGAAATGGCAAAAACTAGAAAGCTCTCGCGGTCGACATAATGTCTTTCTTCCGCCCAATGGAGCAATTTCCTGGAAACCCAGCCGACCAAGATACCGTAGGCAACGCTTAGAATAACCGTGTAGACCCAGGTCTCGTAGAACCACAGACCCATAGCTTTTCCAGCCCCGCCACTATATCCCTCCCCTCCCATACCAATATACTTGAGAAGGTACAAGCCGAAAAAGAGGAAAGGATACCCAAGCCCATCATTGGCACCGGACTCGGCGACTATGATCCTCTGCAGCGGCGGAGGAACATTCTTGTCGGCGAATTTACCCTTGACAATCGAGTTTGACAGGACAGGGTCCGTGGGTGTGACACAGGCACCGACTATAAGAGCATGGAGGAATTTGAAATTCGGAATCATAGCCCAAATGATCAAGCTGCTACACATCCACATGGCCGCCATGCCGGGTCCAAGTAGCAGAGATAGACTTTGCCATTCTACCTGAAGGTAACGTTTCGGAAGCTGAACACCGGCCAAGAGCAGCTGCACACCAAGAACAAGTCTAGTAAAGTAAAGGGTGATCTCCTCTAGATTCTGGTCGGAGCCAAGCGCATAGTCTTTGGGCCTAATGAAATTGGCTGCATGCGGGGAGAATATGACACCGGCCAGCAATGAAATCACTGTGCAATGTTAGCCAAGACACCTAAGCTTTCTTCCAGATTAAACAGGGCCAAAGTTACGGACAAGCTTCTGACAGGTAGAATCTCTCCTTGAACAAGTAGGACACCAGCCCAAAGATAGAGATAAACCCTCCCAACGTCGCGCAGACGATGTTAAAGTTGATTGGGGAAAGTTCGGGCATTTCGCTTGTTTGTGGTGATTCAAACCAGATGATATAGCTTTCTTCTAGCTATCAAGACAGCCGAGGCCGTATTTAATCAACGGACACTCAGGGCTCCAGATAGATCGATCTAGACAGCACGTGTTATTGGATCATAATATCGATATTGAAGTTCAGAATGCAAAGATGCCCGATCATATGGAAGGATCTACTCAGAACTTGATCAAGAGGCACTCGGTCAGTACCACGGTGCAGACAAAGTAAGCTGGAGCTAACTGCTTCTGGGGGTCTTCAATAATAAGAGGGAGAGTGCTTTCCAAGCAAAGGTTTTTAGAAACCGACGGGGTGATTATGGGGGAGGAGGGAAATTAAAATACGAGAGCTAAAGCAGCGCGGCTATGGCGGCGCTAAAAGGCACGTGACTGATACTCAATACATATCCTCGATATTTCAAGCAGAGTTTACGGGCATCCTGTGGCAGCAGTGACTACTGAAGGCGTGTGCTGTCAGGTCTCCCTGCTTGTATCTACACTCCCTCAGGCAATTGTCTATGCGAGCCTCATTCTCCATGAAGGACAACCTGGATCTGTGACATCTTCATAATAATGTGCAAAATAGGTATGTTGCTAGCGACTGCCTTCTCAAGGGTATCATATTCCCGTACAAATGCATGCAGAGTGGCGAAAATGTGCTTATGAACACTCTCATAACCAAATGCAAAAGAGAAATTATTCAGAATCATCGTCAAACGCATCGTCCGGAATATTCCGTACGGCTTCCATGGCCGCCTGTTTATCTGCAACGCCTTTCTGAGCTCCATTGACAGCAAGACGATCAGCAGCTTCATTCCCTGGATCATTGTTGTGTCCTTTTAGCCACTCGAAGAATGTCTTGACTCTGAGCTTATCCCGCTCCTCGATTTTGTCCAGAATCGATTCAACGAGGTCCTTGTTCTCAACTGGTTTGTTGCTCGACGTCATCCAGTTATTCCGCCGCCAACTCTGGAACCACTCAGTTACGCATTTGATTGAATACTGGCTGTCTGTGAAGATAGTGACGTCGCGGTGTCGCGGAGCGATGTCCAAGGCCCGGAGGATCGCTGTCAGTTCAGCGCGTTGGTTGGTTTGTCGGTTACCCTTCAAAGGCTCTGAGACATTTCTGCTAGTGATAACCGGTGTCAGTGAGTAAACACAACTGGGGAAGCGAAATTAGAGAGGCAGAAACAAACCTGCTGTCCCCGGGTCCAAAATAGACTCCCACGCCTGCAGATGCAACCGCTCGACCATTTGCTAGCGAACTGCCATCAGTGTAAATCCGGAGCATCCCCGGTGGTCCCTTTGCCTGTACTTTTGTGACAGTCTTCTGTTCCGGAAGCCTGTATACCGCTTTGCCTGTTTTCGGATCCAGAAGCACATTGGGATCGAATCCATCCTCGGCGTCCAAGCCCAACGGACCATCGGCCGCCTCGTACGGAACGCCATGTTCGTCCTTTGGTATTTCGTCCATCATCCCAGGGGCTCCAGAAAGCTTCTGTGTCTTGGTGCTGTCGGATGCGAATGACGCGCCAGACTGCTGACCCATCTTCACGAATTCTTCTGCCTCCGTGCGCGTCGAAAACTTCCTATAGCTTGGTCGTTGAAAGCCTCGAATTTGCTCCTGTGCCTGAGCCCAGTCGGTGTAGACACCTGGCAGACGCCCGCGCTGAATCCCGTAAAATCTGGTATGTACCGAGTCCGAGCGTGTAGCAACGCCAAGCGGCGCTTTTGTGCCTCTCAGGAAGGAGCTTGCCTCTTCGATTGTCGAGAATGCCTGAACTAGAGTGGCAGACCTCTGTCAGTGAAGCTATCTCCGGGAAATATATACCATAAACAACTTACAGACTGCGCCTTTGTACCCCGTCACTTGTGTCAAGCAATCATTCCATTCAAAATATACTCCCGGTTGATAGCCTTTTTTCACTGCATAGTATTTTCCGGGAGTGTTTCGCTTTCGCTTTGTCCCAGCGGCCGACGCGGCAGGCGAAGGTTTCATCGCAGGTGCCGGGCTGGGAGACGGCGTGGTTGTCGAAGTGCCCATCATGTCACTCAAGACGGTAGCGTAGCCCACAGTCTTCTGTGATATGAACGAAAGAGTCGTTTCTTTATACGAGTTCTGCAAGTTCTGCAAATGTAAATCCTGCAGCTTCTGTATATCCTGCAACTCCTGCAAGGTCTGCAAGGTCTGCAAAGTCTGCAACTTCTGTAGGTTCTGCAGGTTCTGCAAGTCCTGCAAGTTCAGGGGGCCTTGTGAGTTCTGCAAATCCTGAGAGCTCGGCTCTGGAAGAACACCCTTTTTCTTTTCTATTTCCTTTTCCTTCTTTTCTCTCCTTCGCCGGGAAAAGGATATCAGCCTGTTCGAATGGGGCCACCGAAGTTCCAGCTTCGAGGTTGGCAGAACAGTTCGTCGAAAGTACACGGTGAGAGGCAATGTGTCTGTTCAGGCCACGAAATGTAGCCGTCGACGAGGGCGTCTGGCGAGGAAAGTAGCGTGGGGGGAGCGTCCGTCGGCTTGCGGCGAGTGAGGGGGCGAGAGGGGTGTCGGAGGGGGGAATGGGAGGAGGGACAGAAGCGCGTTTGCTCGTTTATTGTCGGCAGGGATTGAGAGTGATGTTCCGCAAATAGGAAAACCCCCTTTTGTTTCTCCTTCGATGTATCCTGTATCCTTGCCAAATGCCACAGGTCAAGTCACTCATCTGTCGTCTCCGAGGTCGATGAGAGGTAACAAAGAGGCTCATTCCACGGTTGCGGAAGTGTCAGTCATGCTTTACGCCGAATCGCATGAATAGCAATGAGTTCAAGGCAAATTTGCAGGACCGAGCCTGTCTATCGTCTTGGTATCGTCGCGGTTGTTGAAGGGAAGTTGGAAACGCCGTGTCGCGGCTTTCGCTGCATGAAGTCACGTGATATCACATGCGTGGAATTATTGAATCATTCTTTTTTATTCAATTTCTATATAATATCTACAGTTTGACTTCTTTATTTACTCTTTCTTTTCTTTGTCTTTCTTTGTACTGCTTTGCAGTCATCCATCCTATGCGTCATCTCATCAGGGCTTGTCGGGAACACAACCCTCAAAGTAAACAAACCATTGGATCTTCATTCACTCCACGTCTTTTGCCTCCTGATATAAATAGCTAGATTTGCAGCATGAATTTCAATGAAATTTCTTCTGCTCGTTATCCTCAATATCTCAGCTTTCCAGTTTGGCAGGCTGAAAGGGTCCAATTGTTTTGACTGACATACAAGTACGACTAACTTCATACGTTCTCTTTACATCCAAGTCTGAGATACTCGCAAAGAGAAACTTGATCGTATGCTTGTCAATGTTCCCTATCAAACCTACCAAGTACTAGCTAACCCATTTCCCAAGGAAAGGCAGTGATCACTAGAAGACCAAGCTCAACAACGACACCCTCGCCATGAACATCCATACCAAACTCACCTACCAAGACCTCACTGCGAACCTCCACATAGCCTGCATGTTAGGCGACGAGGCCCGCGTCAAACACCTCCTCTCCATTGGCGCCCACCGCAACGCCGAAAACGACAGCGGCACATCCGCCCTCGGACTCGCAGACTTCCTCCACCGCGTTGAAATCGTCAAACTCCTCCTCCATGACATAAATATCAAGGAGGCAGGCGGCTATGAGCTTTTGAAAGCCATCCGCTTGGACCGCGCGACTGTTGTGAGGGCCCTGTTGGAAATGGGGGTGAAGGAGGAACTCGTTGAAGATGATGGGTTCTTTCGAAGTGCGCTTGTGCTGGCGTGTTGTGTTAGTGATACGAGGGTCTTGGGGGCGTTGGTTAAGTATGGGCCTGGTGTGGAGGTGTGGGCTATTAAGGATGTTTTGATTCAGTGTGCGGTTGCGGCGGAGAATTTGGAGGTTGTTGGTGGGATTCATGATCTTGTTAGGGATGAGAGGGAGCCTCAGAGTGGGAGTTCTATAGTATGTTGACCTAGTTTATTGGGACGTGGTGTATGCTGACTTAACAGGGATCTACGGTCGATCACCTTTCAAACCCGTCTGTGTCAGAGAGTGAGATGGAGCCGTGTTTGTACGGGGATATGCAAGAATGGCATCCGGCCCTTGCAGTGAGAATGTCGGATATGTTCATGCAATCTTTGGATCGATGCTAGTTCTGTCAGGGATACGAATGTTGGGATACTTCTCGGATATCATTTTATTGAAATCACTAGTTCACATGTATCATATTGACAGGACCTAAGACAGAACGATCATGCTCTTTAGTTCTTTGCTAATTCTTCAATCTCGTCCTTTCCCAATAAGCCCAGTTTTTCTCTCCTTGTCGGAGCACTCGGGTCGAAGAATGGCTTCTCCGCGAGCGAGGTCACTCTGGTGCCATGACGAGGCTCTGAGTTCTCATAGTCCCAGCTGGCGTTGTGGATGGTGATTCTGCGGCTCTGTCAGTACACATCTATCTTGAGCATGTAGAATCAAAGCTTACCTGTTATCCCACAAGGCACTCGTCCGAGGCGACCACTTGAAGCGAACCTGGATATCAACATTCTTCTCATACACATCAAACAGGTATCCCAAAATAACATCACTCTCTGCCTTATCAAGACCAACAATCCGGTCCGTCATAGCGCGGTTCACCCACAATACCTTCCAACCAGTTGCCGGATGCACACGCACGAGAGGATGCTCGCGCTCCACATATTTCGGTCCCGCCTCTGGGTTCTTGCGGTCCAGGTAGGGATGCGCAGATCGGTAGATAGCCGTCCTTCCATCGATGATCTTGCGGAAAGCAGGAGATAGTTTCTCGTATGCTGCGTATCCGCTGGCCCAGAGAGTGTCGCCGCCGGTTGTGGGAACGGTGTCGTTGTGAAGGTGTGTCACGCCTGCGGGCTGTCGCTCATGGACCAGGTCTGTATGCCAGCGTGAGGAGCCTCCCGGTCGACGGAAGTTGGCAGGGTTTTCGGTCGCTTGGAGGGCGGGCCAGATGACGGTGACGCCGGTTACGCCGGGGACTTGAGGGACTTGGGGCTAGACAGGGTTAGCAATGCTCATACTGCATCAAGTGGGTGACATACGTGAACCTCGATCTCACCAAAGTGCTCTCCCAGTTCCTTCTGCTGCTGGGGAGAGATGTCCTGGTCACGGAAGAAAACCACACTCCGCTCTGCAATCAACAAACCCAGCTCGTCCCTCTGCTGGTCGGTGAGGTCCTTCAGCTGCAGGCCCACGATCTCTGTTCCAATGTGCCTTGTGAGATGGATGACTTGCTTGGCGGCCGAGAGCAAGGCTTTCTTTTCTGGGTCGGCGCGAGTCGCGGGGTCGATGTGCGGACGGTCGTAGTTGCGGACATTGTACACATCGTCGACAAAGAGCGGACGAGAAGGACGATACGGATATCCAGCAGAGAGGTCGATGCCATCTTTTTCCAACCGTTCACGAGCGGCCGACGGAAGGGCAAGAGTGTCCTTCCGGGGCTCAGCGACGTCGACGATGCGAGAATCGATGGGAGCAGGAGCCATGTTGCGATGCGATACACTTGGATATCCTGATAATCTGATATCACTGGCTGGTCATGGCGTCGGATCCAGCATGATTAAGTATCCTCTGCTTGATAGTCTGCATTCAGGCTGATTCCCAGGATTCGATCACATCATATGCCCCCCCTCATTGCGCTTTCTGCATGCCACGCACGATGCATTCAAGCGTTGGACGAGATCATCGTATGCCTTTGTTTCTTATTAATGCGGGGATTTCTGCATTGCTTATCTGCGACCATTCGGGAGTGCCTGGGATAAAGCAACCGTATTAGACGGATAGCTCCGATATCATCATTCAGGGATTCAATGGCGAGAACCTATTTCTAAGCAGCGAGTAAGATCTTCCGGCGAACGACATAGAGTGTCGCGATCAGATTTTATTTGCGGTTGAGCTTCGGGGTCCTGGATAGGCTGTTCGAGGCACACTCAATTGAGAGGAATATATGAATCGCTTCTGTATGGAATCATGTTGGGTTGTTCTGGTCGCACTGGTTAGCGTTATGTCTGACGGATATGGCGTAATCGGTGCTGCACAGGGATTTCCAAAACTGTCGAATTTGTGGAAAGAGTCGATTGAATCAGAATAGAGAAGCATTATCAGTAATGAACTTGTTGTTATTTAGTATACCTTCAAGTCAGAACAAAAGTTAGCAGTTCTAGTATCCTCATCGCGGCTGTCCCGTGACTTGCAGACCCTAGCTTACTACAAAAATACGATATGGCCAATCAAACCCAATAAATTACCGGAAGTCTAGAATAGAATCCGGGGGGAGATAAGATTATCTTGACATGATCAGATTTGATACGTCGGTTGGATTCCGGTGAACCCTAAGTTAATAGCGCAGTTCACGGTCCATGGCATTGGATAGCCCGTATGACGAGCTTTGACCGACATATGGTGATGGCCTTCGTAAGCAATCCTCAGCGATATTCATTTCTAATTTGCTGTCTCAATACTAGCTGCATTGTACGATTGCGCAAAAGTAGTACACAATGAGAAATGTTCTCCCAGTAACACTCCCCTCCCAGTACCAAGACCCAAACAAGCTATCGGTCCTTATTACGCTTTTCCTCTTTTCTCCGATACTAGGAGCTCTAGCTGTACACCGGGGATGTATCTCATATAACCTGGTCGCGTCCAATGTTTATCACAAGACAAGTCGAAGTCAATTCATCTGCGGGTAGACAAAAATGGCCCCCCAAGACTCCGTCGTTGTCGATGAAAGGGACGTCGACTCTTCATCGGGCCCGGTGCAGAAGGATGTTAAGAAGAGATGGGTGAGCTATATCTGGGATACATTTGACAAGCCGCCGGAGGAGCGGCGGTTGTTGTTCAAGTTGGATACGGCTATTCTTACTTTTGCTTCCCTCGGTAAGTATTTCGTTTTCTTCGCCTGCAGCTTGCAGGAAGCTGATTGGTCAGGTTACTTTATCAAATACTTGGATCAGGTTAACATTAACAATGCATTTGTATCGGGGATGCAAGTCACCCTCTTTCGCTATACCATGTGACACGGCTAACTCTTCGCAGGAAAGAAGACCTGGGCATGTACGGTAACCAGCTTAATTATATACAAGCATGCTGGACCGTTGGCTATGTCATTGGCGAAATCCCGAGTAATATCCTTTTGACTCGAGTCCGGCCCAGATATTGGATTCCGGCTATGGAGGTATGCATTCCCATCGTTAATGCATGGACTATGCTAACATGAACAGCTCCTATGGACGGTTCTTACTTTATCTCTGTCAAAATGCAATACTCCAACTCAATTCTACGTCTTGCGATTCTTTGTCGGTATGTTCCTTACCATCGTACCTCATTCCATATGCCGGGATACTAAAAATCGTGCAGGCCTCGCAGAAAGCACATTCTACCCCGGCATGCAATACATCATCGGCTCGTGGTACCGCAAAGACGAACTCGCCAAGCGATCCTGCATCTTCCACACCAGCAGCGGCATCGCAAGCATGTTCTCGGGCTATCTCATGGCCGGTGTATACAACCTAGAAGGGCGCGGTGGTTTCAGAGGCTGGCAATGGTAAGTCATCACACACTAACTGACCTTCTCATATAGGAAATGCTAACGGAATAGGCTCTTTCTAATTGATGGTATCATTTCTCTTCCTATAGCGATAAGCGGCTTCTTCGTCTTGCCTGATGTTCCTGAGATTTCGAATCCGTGGTATCTTAGTGAGAAGGAGGTGGCGCTTTCGCAGAAACGGATGGAGTTGGAAGGGCGAAAGCCTCGAGAGCCGTATACTAAGTCGAAGTTGAAGAAGATTTTCACTTCGTGGCATATATGGCTTTTGACGATTTTATATATGTGAGTTGCATTCCCGGTGTGGATATCTAGTAGGGCCAACTAACATGATATAGTGCATTCAATAATGCTGCTGCGAGTAGCCAGCCGGTTTTTCAACAGTAAGCTCCCTTTTTTACCTCTTGCCTTGTGCTGGGGCGTGGCTAACAATATCAGATATCTCAAAGCCTCCAAAGACCCAGTTTACGAAGTCTGGCAGATCAACGCTTATCCCACAACAACCAACGCAGTCCAAGTCGCCACGACCCTAATCTACGCTTGGACATCCGATACTATCCTCAAGGGGCGCCGTTGGCCACCCATCATCTTCGGCGCTGTATGTCCTCACTTTCGCTTCTAAAAGAGAAAACAATGCTAATGTCATCAGATAATAAACATCATCTGCTACGTCTCCCTAGCAATCTGGGACATCCCCACTGGCTGGCATTGGGCCTGCTATATCCTCGCCGGTTCAGGATATGGCTTGAGTGGTTTACTCATGGCATGGACGCACGAGATTTGCTCCGAGGATAATGAAGAACGCGCCCTGGTTATCGGAAGTATGAATGAAATGGCGTATGTCTTTCAGGCGTGGCTGCCGCAGGTTGTTTGGCAGCAGGTGGATGGTCCGCAATATACGAAGGGTTTTATTACGTCGAGTATTTTGTCGGGGATTTTGATTATTACGACGTTTGTTATTAGAGGGTTGGAAAGGAAGGGGTTGTAAATGTCAGTTTTGTATAGTTGGAATAGATAGATGTGTTATATACAAGAGGTTGTCTTTGTCTGTGCAGTTACTATGCCGGACGGGGAATGTTGAACTTGACCAAGACCCGTCTGTAGGAAACCAGGGCCCCGTCGCTGACTTCCAGAATCAAATGCAACGTTCTCTCCAAGCGGTCTCCGCGTGCTCCACCGGCCTGCCACAGTGTGTTTTCCGATGGAAGAGTAATAGTTGGATTCGGCGATGTCGAACCCCGGATCTTCAATGACAAAGCATCGGTGGATGGGGGCCACTCCGTGTCCGACGGGTCAACATACTGCCACCACTTGAACGAAAGTTGATTGCCATCCGGGTCATAAGAGGCACCGGCGTTCAACTGGAGCGTCTGGTTAGGTCGCATGGTGATCTCCACCGGAGCCAACCCGCAATGCTGGTTGACAACAGCCACGGGGGCATGGTTGGCGTCTTCGAACCGGTCCGTGTTCGACCATTGCATGCGAGCTGCGAAATCGGCTTGGTAGGCTGAGCGCCAGCGCCAGATGGTGGCTTGCGATGAGGATCGTTTGATGCCGTTGGGGCCGGTAATTAGGTCTGCTGTGTCGGCATAGTGACCTTCGCCATAGCATACAGGTCCGTAACGACCGCCCCAAGAACCCCATTCTGGGTGTTCAATGGAAGAGAGGCCGTTCTGGATGAGGTAGAGAAAAGTTGGTGTATCGCCTGTTGAATTAGTCACGTAACTAGAGAATATATATGGGTGAACTCACCTTCCGGGATATAGTCAAATTTTGGGTACTGTGCACCCAACTCCCCAACATCCTGGATATGTTCTTTGACCCATTCCTTCGAAACTGAGGAAGTGTTGGCGCCGGTGTGCTCGAAATAATAGTATTCTTCACCGGATATGCCCGACCACGCTGCAAGAGCATATATATTGAACTGGTGGACACTAGCAATGTAGAACAACTGCGGCCAATGGCGACGAATCCAGGGGCCTGTATTATCTTGGTCCGAGACGGCGTATACACGCAGCTTGCGGACGAACTTTTCAATCTCATCCGCGCTCCTGGTGGCATTAACCTTCCACAGTGCCTGTGCCAGAACCGCTGTACCTCCCCAGCAGGGCACCCAGAGTGTTTCATCCGATGCGTCAACGGTGCGGATCAGCAACTCCATGCCATCATTGTCTTTGCCTTCTCCCACGCCGTCCATTCCATAGACGGGAAGACCGGCTTTGGAATTGTTAATCAAGAAGTCGGCCTCGGGCCAGCCATCGGCATGAGCCTTGAGGTTAGGCAGGACATCGCCATAGACCTTTAGGGTGTCGATGATCTGATCCTCGTGAGTGGAGGAATTGAGCCAGTAGCTTGTAGTCGCAACGAATCCTTGGAGACGGAATTGGTGGGAGTATACCAAGAGACGGACAAGAGATTCGGCATCATCCGGTTCATTGGCGATATCAGTGAGGATCAGGACCCGAGGACGAGTGTGCACCGGTTGAGTGGTCGAGCATGACGAATTTGATGATACTGGGAGCGCAAAGACCTGCAGAGCAGCCCAAAGGGACAAGAATAAGAAGCTGACCAACATGGCGCTTGAACTCGCAGTGGGAAACGAGGACTACTCTGGCACCAGGCCTCACACTGACCCAGTCTTTATACCCAACTTTCTTTCATTCTCTAGAGTTTGACTGATGTCATAACTCTCGTTCATCCACCGCTGTGAACTCATGACCTCGTGGCATGGTATCCCGGTACAATCCCGGTCCTTGACAGGGAGTATTGTCCGGAGTGCATGCAGCGCGGAGAATGCGGAGACCCCGCGATATCGCTGAAGAACCGGAGAAGAACCGATGCTGGTTGAAACAGGCGATCCGACGGTCTCAAACGCCATTCGGAAGCCAGACTTCGAAAAGAGGGAATGGCTGGGCTCCAATTTATTCTCTGGCTTGAGTAGTGGCCGAAGTTGAGCCATTGCCAGGGAAGGAATCAACGGTGAGATACGTGCCAAGCAGTGGTCACGGTTGGTGGTGTGGATGGAGGTGGGTGAGAGTTCATAGAATTTACCCGAATAGTAGAGGAAGCTGTACTCCGGGGTAGATGACTGGTCAGTTGTGTACACCGGCAAATAGTAGTCCGTGGTGTGTTTACAGTCCCTGAAGGTTAAACTGGAATGAAAAGTAAATGCAAAATTCTATTGTGCTATTATAACATAATAAGTATTTGCAATACAACAATGGCCGGATGGTGTAGTTGGTTATCACGTATCGTTAACAGTTCAAACAACTGATTCCGATAAGGTCCTGGGATCGAGCCCCAGTCTGGTCATTTCTTTTTGCTTTTTATTTTTTATGCAACAATTGCCGAAGGCGCATGGAGTAAATTCTACCAATCTTGATTTTTACTACGATACTTCTAGACCAATTACAATCATTGTAATTCACTGCTCACTGTATCGCTCGTTTATTTTTCGAATGCTTTAAATACCTGTGCTGTAATTGGACATTCGAGTGATTTTTGCTTTTACGTCGCAGTATCCACCGATACCGATATATATATCCCAGCAGCCACACATATCACACATATTACGCACAATATACAATGACCCAAGACCAAGACCCAGATCATCAAATTACTGCAAAAATCAATCAATCTCTTACCAGCACACCCTACGCTTGCACTTCTTTAACCCGCCTCAGTGGCGGAACAGTCAACTTTGTCTATCGCGGGATCCTTCAACGGCCGCTGGACGATGGCACGAAAACGGTGATTATCAAACATGCAGAGGAGTTTTTGGCTTCATCTAGGGATTTTAAGTTAACGGCTGAGAGATGCGTACGTTCTTTCACCATGGTATACTCGAAGAAGAAATATGCTAATGGAGAAACAGGTAATAGAAGAACTAATCCTCAACGCATTAAAAAACCTCCCACTCCATACAAATGGAAGCTCGATTGTCAAGACACCCTTTCTCTACCACTTCGATCTCGCCACCCACACCCAGATCCTAGAAGATCTCCCAGCCGCCCAGGATCTCAAATCTTACATAATCGCCCATGGGCACGAATTCCCCGAGTCCCTGGCGAGATCTATCGGCCGGGGACTTGGCGAGTGGCTCTGTGCGTTCCATGCGTGGACGGAAGATGATGATGCACGGGGGGATCTGAAAAAGAGGATGTGTGCTGATAGGTTCATGGCGGAGTTGAAATTCAGCGTTAACTATGACAATCTGGTTAAAGCTGTAGGGAAGTTTCCGGGTATGTTGGAGGAATCGAGGGTTGTTTTTGAGAAGGTGTGGGAGATGGCTAAGGAGGAGATTGGGAAAGCTCATGGGAAGGGATTCGGTTTGATTCATGGTGATTTCTGGACGGGGAATGTCCTTATTCAGAGCACTGTCCTAGATCACCAACAACAGCCCAGCCCTACTCCGACCCTCTTTATTACAGACTGGGAATTGTCACAGTGTGGAGCTCAAGCCCTCGATCTGGGCCAGATGATCGCCGAGCTATACATGCTAAAGCATTTTAAAAACCTCGATGCTGGGTTATGGGTTATCCAGGACTTTCTTGATGGTTATCGCCCCGCGTTGAACGTGGACATGGCATTCCGAACTGCTATTCATGTTGGGGTGCATTTGGTGGCGTGGGGGAGTTCGGTACAGGGATGGGGAACGGAGGAGCAGGTTGAGGATGTGGTGAGCGTTGGGAGGGATTTTGTGGTTAGGGGGTGGGAGAGGGATCAGGCTTGGTTTAAGAAGAGTCCATTAGGGTGCTTGTTTTCGGATGAATTATAATTGCTTTATAGCTAAATATTAATCAATGCATTGCGGTATGAGGTATACATGTAGCAGGTGGTATATGGCCAAAAGATAAAGACTCCTATATGCGTATGCGCATGTACTGGTTACAGCTTGGCCCGGAATGTACCCCGGACCAACTCGAGCCCTGATGGCCCGTCATAGATCTGTTGTTCTGCCAGACGAGTGTTGATCTAGAAAATCGTTAGTAGGCGTGCATTTGACGGCGAACAAGGCACTTACATGTTGAGGCCCCAGGTCTTCGACTCTCTCGACTCCCAACAACCGCATGCTCGTCTTGGTTTCCTCGGCCAGAACTGTTATAGTCAGCATCTGCAACATCTGCAAAAAAAGAAAAAGATGAGGACTTACTTTCAAAGGTCCGCTTGACACCCTCGACACCACCAGCACCCAATCCCCAAAGCGCGGGACGACCAACTCCCACAGCCTTAGCACCGAGACAGAGAGCCTTGACCACATCCGTTCCGCGACGAATGCCACCGTCAACCCAGACCTCGAGCTTGTCGAAAACTTCAGGGCAGAACTTCCGGATCTCCATCAGAGTGTGAACGGCAGGGGGTGCAGTGTCGAGAGCGCGGCCACCGTGGTTGGACAAAATGATACCCTTGACCTGGGGCGTGTGGAGCGATGCAATGTAGGCATCCTCGTGTGCCTGCAGTCCCTTGAGGACAATGGGTTTGTTGGTGTGCTTGGCCAGCCAGGGGAGTGTCTCCTTCCAGGTGAGAGATGGATCGGTTCCAGCGAAGAGCTGTTTTCCGACACCACCACCAGCATTACCGGCCTCTGTTTGTTTCTCTGGCGATCCACCAGCGGGCTTCGGAGCGGATGCGTTACTACTTCGCTCGTCATCTTCTCTCTTGCCCGGGACGGGTGCGTCGAGCGTGAGCACGATGAATTTGATCGCGTCAAGCTTGTTGATGCGCGCCAGCATCGTTTCGCTCTTCTTCCGGTCGATCTGGACATAGATCTGCCATCCGAACACTTGGTCTGGTGTTGCATCTTTGATAATCTGCTCTGGCGTCATGGAGGCATTGTTGGAGATGACCTGCATGGCACCGAAGCTGCGACAAGCCTCTGCAATACCAGCCTCACCCGCAGGATGACCCAGACGAGCCATGGCGGCCGGTGACACAAAGATCGGCATTCCCAGTTTATGCCCCAGGACACTCGTATCCAGATCGCATCGTGTACAATCGACAAACACTCGCGGCCGTAGCAGAATGGATCGGTAGATAGCCGTGTTAAAGCTCTTGGTAACCTTGTCATCCGAGGCAGAAAAGTAATAAGCCCACGCCTTTTTGCTCACGTTCTTGGTAGCAACCTGCTCGATCTCGTCCAGGTTAAGCAGCGACTCCATAGGCGGTGGTCCCTGGTCTTCCTCTGTTGACGCAGGCTCCGGTTGCGCTTCTAGCTTCGGTAATGTGTCGGGGTTGATGGTTCCTAGACATGCTTCGGGGGCGAGGTTTTCTTCTAGGATTCCTGGGGGATGGATTGGATCGTATTCTTCGGTGGCATCTTTACCGGCCAGTTTGAGGATTACTTTGGCACCGCCGGGGTGTTCTGCGAGGAAGTCGGTGACCTAGAGGGTTAGCCAGGGATGCATTTGTATACCACCTTGGAAAAGACTTACATCGTAGACTTTACCGTACAAAGTGACCCAGCAGCTCTCTCTTGTGTTGTGCTTCTCAACTGTGTATCCCCTGTATTAGCCTTGTCAATGGCAAGATAGGCTGTAACGGTTATAGATACCTTCGGCCGCATCGAAAACCTTGGCCATTTTGGCGGTTTTCAACGATTTTAATCAATTGAACGATGTGTTAGAGAGAGGAATAAAGAAATAGGATATAAGAATAATATTTACAAAGAGCGGTGTCGAGAGAAATGTCGCATACAAATACAATAATAATATGCGAATACGGCTTTTATATTTCTCCAGATTCGCCGTCGGAGAACTGGCCGATGGGGAGAATGCGGGGCGGCGTCTGAAGTTCCCCATTGGGTAATTTGGATAGCCGATATGCGATGGGGAATCAATTCGATTTGTGGTGGTTGTTATTGGACGAGCGAAAATCGGAGAGAAGACCAGAGATAACCGTTGAAAAGCAATTATCTGAATTAATTCTACGGAATAGATTCTAGAATTCGTGATTGTATCTCTATAGACGCGCTGCACGTGAGCCGTCAGCGCGTTCAACTTCGCGACTCTTGATCATATGGAATTACTCTGTATTCACACTGAACTGCCTCCCATACTCGTACATTCAGTTATTGACACTACAAAACATCGCAGAATTCCTACTGACAGACCTCCAATACCTCACTGGTATCGCGGTTAAGCTCTTGTGTTCGTGTCCATTGCGCCATGTTCGAGGTAAGATGACCTTATTCCCACTATTGACACTTTATCATTCTCTCTCGCCAACGGGACTGCTATCAATACTAACTGTATTCCAGCGTCGCGCTGCTGACCGATACCACCTCCGCCTACACCGCGCTCGTTCCGTTGCGCTGACCTCCGATGAGATTGTTGAAGTCCGCGCAGCCCAACGTACCTTTGAAGGGGCCTACGTTCGCACCGCCCTGTCCCAATTCTCCTTCGCCCTCGTCGTGCTCAAAATCTTCAGTCGCGAGTTCTACAGTATCGGTGCCTTGTTTGCGGTCTACGGCACGGGTGTGCTCATAATCGGTCTCTTCCGTCGTCAGCAGGGAAACAAACAGTTCTTCTCAGAGGTGGGAGAGGATGGCGTCCACCGTCACAAGTTTCGGACTAGTGGAAATGCCGTGGTGGTTTTGACGGTGCTGAGTATCGCAGCGTATGCGGTTCTTATCGCTCTCACGTTGAAATTAAGTCGCTAGCCGGAGACTTCTTTCGATACTCTTTTGTTCTACACAGCAATGACCTCCCTGCGTAACTGCCAAGTGCCAAGAATTCCGCAGTGATACGACTCGCCCGCCAGCTGAAGATAAGAACAAGAAACCGGAGCGGAGGGAGGATGGACAGAGTGACAACACTGCAGTGATGATGGCAGCTTACAGCTTACGACCTTGGCATACCGTTCAAGGGCAGACTAGGAGAAGAGGGAGGGAAAGGTTGCACGAATGAGCTGAGTACGCGCAGTCATTTCTATCTCGGCGTCTTCTGTCTGACACGACGTGTACAGCGGGAGGTGCTAGGCGGAATCTTAGGACTCCGAGCTTCAAGGGATACCCAGATACATCCCAAGCTCCTGCGCTCCAAATGAATCAGACAGGATTGACAACAAGCGAGATACAAGCGAGATACTGGACCACTGATCATGGCGGCAAGGGACGGGTTTGCACAGGGTTCTGCAGTGTTATCTGCCTGCTTATAAGTATGATAGATACAGCGAACGTGTGAGAATGCTTGTTGTATAAACTTAGGAGTACTACTCTGTAGTTAAATATAAACTCTTGTATCCGAATGCCGATGTCCGGTCTCAATCGCGTCTTGACATCATTCTCTCGTGTTCCGCTCCACCCCAATAGTACAGTGACTTCATCTTCCGCATTCGATATTATTTGACTACTGCCTTGGGATCTTTTCTTTCCATCATTACATTACTCTTCTACTACCTACTAACTTGGAGAAGACAACTCATTTCTATACAAGTCAGCACTAATCAGCGAACATTGGTTGCTACTCCCTCGTTCACGTGCGATTACTGCCGTCGCCACTCGACCTTCACCTCGACAAAGCGCTTTGCGACTGTCTCTCTCAGTGAATTCTCAGCCTTATCTGATTATTCGAATCTTCTGCTATCGAATATAAATTCGCAGTGGTCAAACAGTCCAAACGGTGTCGTCTAGTGGCTTTTCTTGAGTCATCCCACTATAACTATCCACTGGACTTTTTTCCCCCCAATTTTTTTTTTCTTCCCCTCTTCTCTTTAATCTCTCTCTTTCAGTCAGTGAACTGCTGCATCTTTCCTATATTTAACTGCACTTTGAATGATCTCCTTGAGTTCAGAACTCTTTGTTCCATCTTTGTTTTCATTTTCTTATCGATCCCAGCTTCTCAGAACTGAGTGCGTCCCTGCTTGCTGCGGGGATGGCGCAACATTCTGATATTGCTCGATCGGCCATTATGACCAACGCAGCTGCTCCCGACTCGTCGCGAAACGGAGACAAGGCTAACGGCGTCAACGGTCACGGTCCCAGCAACAGCAATGGCAGCGCTGGGACTGATGCGTCGTCGCTAATGCCTCCTCCCAAGAACTCGGCTGGTCGCTCCTCCAATGTTATGCCTACCGATACGCGCAGAGCGTCCAAGGATGGTGTCGGGATTCCGTTGTCCGATACGCCTATGTCAACTGCGCCGTCATCTCCACAGATGTAAGTCTTACTTCTTTTTGCTTTTTCAACATGCGACCCGCATTACATGTCCTACCTGCACCATTTCATTGGTTCTGAAGGCCTTGGGCTCAAGATTGATTGGTCAACTTATACTAATGCGGTCTTTTTCTGACGTAGCTCTGCATCTGCTACCCCTCCTACTCCCGGTCGTGTCCGTGCAACAACCCTCGATATTCCCGGCCTGACCAAGTCCAAGGTCTCCCCCGATGGACGTATCTCTCAACGCGATCTCGGAGCTAAGCTCGTGATTATCATGGTCGGCCTGCCGGCCCGAGGCAAGAGTTATGTGACCAAAAAGCTAGCCCGGTATCTGAATTGGTTGCAGCATGACACCAAGATTTTCAACGTCGGAGAGCGGCGTCGTGTGGCAGCCGGCAAGTCGCCTTCTCCTGCGAAATTTGCTCCTGTGGATAAGCGAAAGAGCTCTGTGCATAATGATTTGGTAGACTCGGTGCGCCGACTGAGCGTCAGCGTGGGGAATCCCATGAAGGACTCTGCATCGCAGGAATCCTCAGAAAAAGCCGACACGCAGAAACCCAGCACGGAAAAGTCTGATGCAGACAAGACAGACACAGACCCTTCCCTCCCGCCGCCCGTTGTGCCTGCCAAGATTTTAGTCAATGGCAAGGAACAAGAGTCGCAGAACGGAAGTGCCATCGTTCCACAGTCTGATGCACCGAAGCATGAGCAGGAAGAAGTGGCCATTAGAGAGGGGTCCCCCGAGCCTATGGACCAGACCGCGAATTTCTTTGATCCCCAGAACCAGCGCGCTCTTAAACTGCGAGAACAGGTTGCACTGGATACCCTTGACGAGCTATTGAACTACGTATTGGAAGAAGGAGGCAGTGTTGGTATTCTGGATGCGACCAACAGCACAATGGAGCGCCGAAAAGCGATTGTTGACCATGTCCGCGCGCGCGCCGGCCCCGAACTTGGTATCTTGTTTCTCGAGAGCAGCTGTGTGGACGAGGAACTGCTCGAGGCCAACATGCGCTTGAAGCTGTCAGGTCCGGACTACAAGGACCAGGACCCCACGAAATCCTTGGAGGATTTCAAGAGACGAGTTTCTTTGTACGAAAAGTCCTACGTGCCGTTGGGCGAATATGAGGAGCGCAACGGAATGGCCTACATTCAGATGGTCGATGTGGGCCGCAAAGTGGTGTCGCACCAGACCAACGGCTTCCTCTCCTCACAGGTGGTCTACTATCTACTTAACTTCAACCTGTCTCCTCGCCAGATCTGGATCACAAGACACGGCGAGAGTATCGACAACCAGCGCGGCCGCATCGGTGGTGATTCGGAGCTCAGCGAAAACGGCAAGCGATATGGCCAGGCTTTGACGCGGTTCATTGACCACCAGAGACGCCAGTGGGAGATCTATCAGAAACAAAAGGACCTATTGAGACACATGCCGCCTCGCCCCGGTGATAGCACGCCTCCGAATCCATCGTACGTTCCTCGCGACCGACCCCGGAATTACTGTGTTTGGTCCTCAATGATGCAGCGAGGCGTACAGACGATTGATTCATTCAACGAGGATGAATACGACGTCAAGCAAATGAAGATGCTCGACGAACTGCATGCCGGTGAGATGGAAGGAATGACTTACGATGAAATCCGCGAGAAGTTCCCCGAGGAATACGCGCAACGCAAGAAGAACAAGCTCTTCTATCGTTACCCGGGTCCTGGTGGCGAGGGTTATCTGGATGTCATCAACCGGCTGCGTACCGTGATCGTTGAAGTGGAGCGTATGACCGACCACGTCTTGCTGGTCACTCACCGGTCCGTGGCACGGGTGCTGTTGGCCTACTTCCGGGGTCTTAAGCGCGACCAGGTGGCTGACCTTCATGTGCCGTTGGGGATGCTGTACATGCTGGAGCCTAAGCCATATGGCGTGGAGTTCAAGGCCTATCGCTACAACCCCGAGACGGAATGGTTTGACTATCAGCCGGACTTTGAAATGAGCCAGGAGAATTATTAAAACGGACTCCTTGGTTATCACATCCGTCTTATGAATATTATGATTGATGAAAGTTCTTGTGAATGACCTGTTCTTGTCATTCTATTCCATCGAATCTTGCCAATGCTTATGATGTCGATGTGTTTCTTTTTTTTGATCCGTTGATACAGACATTTCAACCTTGCTTTGTATCACCGTTATGCAATATCTCTTCTTTTGAAAAGCTGTTGGCCTTGACCTCAGTTGCATGATCTCCCCCGAGAATGCTGTTCTCTTGCTTTGTTCTTATTGTTACTACAGCGATGTTCGATTATGCGCATGATTGGCGATTGGCGTCTGGGAATGTTTTCTTTTCTTTACTTCTCTTTGCTGAGAACGGTCACTGGAGACGATCTGAAATGGGACTAATGGGGAGACTGTATTTGTAGATTGGGATAGCTTATCAAGACTAAATGAACGTCTTTGCTTCGAATCTACGTTTCCTCCTCTTTGACCCGGTTAAACACCTCCAAGAAGACATCCGGTTCCTCAGCACCCCCAATCGCATAGTGCCCTTGCACCGTGAAATACGGCACACCAGTCACCAACCTTCGTCTCGCCCGCTCAGCCTCCTGGTCAACCTCTGCACCACCCTCACCAGACTCTAGCAGCTTCACAACCTCATCTTTTCCGATCCCAGCCTTTACAGCCGCATCCACCAACACCTCCCAATCAGTAATGTTCCTCTCTTCTTCAAAATACGCCTTGAACAACCCCTCCACCACCCCCGTCGTCAGCCCCCTCTTCTCACTCCCCTTGTCAAGCTGTCCCGCATACCAAATCACCCGATGCGAATCCCTCGTATTCCCCGTCCTCCCGCCGAACCGGAACTTGATCCCATCGTCTTCCCCAGCGGCTGCTAGTCGGCCAAATAACGATGAGACGCGGTCCTCGCCGAACTTGGAGGCGTAGTGTTGGTGTTTGTCGACGCCGGGGTATGCGGCTGCGGAGGGGTTGAGGTAGAAGGCTTGCCAGGAGAGGGTGAAGGTGTCGGAGGGGTGGGTGGTTTTGTAGGATGCGATTGCGCGGGTTAGGCGGCGGTAGCCTACGTAGCACCACTGTTCATTGTTAGTTGGTGTTTGGTATAGATGGTTTGGGGTGGTTAGAAGGGGAGTCGTACCGGACAGACGGTGTCGGAGATGATCTGGATAGTGAAGTTTGTCATGTTGTATTGCTCTTAACTGGAGATAATGTCTATGTATACTGGAATTAACCGAATGTCAGCTGGGACAGACTCGGCTTTATAGTTATCCTCGTCGGCTATCGAAGAATAAGCGATTTGTCAGCCATAAAAATCGATGGATTACGATCACATCTTCATTAATATGTGTAATGTATTGCGACTGCTTGCTATAATTCGCATGCTCTTTTCAGTGAGAACATGTCAATGGCATCTCTCTGTATACACTGGAGTAAAATGTATTGGTACCTCTGTCGCATGGAGTTGTCGCAGCGATCCCCGCGGCATGACATCATTGCCTTTCCTTGGATTTAATGATCAGCAGTCGTAGTTTATATGAATAGTATCAGGGGACAACGCCTTTTATATTCATTGTGGAAGAGAGTAAAGGAATTGAGGGAGACGGTCTCTGTTGCTATATACAGACATCAGCTGACCTGTCACCTGATCCTTCTCGATCCCTCCTCATTCTTAGATTCCCCTCTTGGATTCACGCCCCGGATCTTCCTCATCAGGACTGGATGCTCATCCAGCCAGTCTCCAATTCATCCCCATGAACCCCCTCGTCCGCCTCGATGACTGCCTCTGGTCGTCTCTGCACTTCGTCATCCTCAATATCCCTCCTTCTCGACTCCCACTGTTCCCCTGTCTAGCGGGATTGGTCTGGCTCGCGACGCTATCGGGCTTGCTCCTATCATGGATCACGCATGGAATGCCTCGATATCCAGGGCAGACGTATCCGATTGCGTAGGCCCTACTGTTCAAACTGGGAAAGAAGGTGTTACTAATGGTGCTATAGGTTCATTTCAGATATCGCTTCGTTCGAATTGAAACCGCTGTTCCTTGTCGGGTCGACCATCACCGCCGTGTGTTTCGTGATTACCGTCGCTGCTGTGCATGTTATGCGCTATGAGCCTGGATTTGCATTGTTCAAGGCCGCCGGACATTCAAGGATTCATCGCCAGCCTGAATATAACCGTGCGCATAGCACCGACAATATGGACGTCAATTCATACGGTACTATCAATGACAGCAATGCCAACGATACCAGCCAAAATGACAACGACAACGACAATAACCACGAATGCTCAAACTCAAACGAAGTGGACGACGACGACGATGACGAAGAAGACACCAACATCACCAAAACCCTCCGCTTCATCTCCCTGCTCTCCGTCTTCGCAGCGTCCACAGCCAGCATCGCCCTTATAATGCTCAGCATCATGGATACATTCCGCTACCACTACGTGCACTTTCTCTTCCTGCAGATCTGTTTCTCAGGGCTGGCGCTGCAGGCTGCGGGTACGGCAATTGTGTATGCGAATGAGGTAGTTGGGTTTGTGTCGTTTTTGTGCAATCGGGGGCGGTGGATTCACGACTGGGGGAGAAGGAGTATTACTGTAAGGGTTTTGTATGTTCCCCTATACTCTGGTGAGGGTGTGTGGTGCTGACGGGGTAGTGCTTCGTTGTCAACTGCGGTCATCCTGGTGGAGGTATTCCTATGCATGACTTTCATTTTTATTACGGCACCGGAACGAGTTAATGCGTATCGCAAGGCTGCTATTTTGGAATGGGTTATTGCGTTTTTGGGCACTGCTTACTTATGGTTATTTGGGGGATTCTTCTTGGATAGGTACGTCTCCAGGACATTTTTCAAGATGGGTTACTGACGCTTGACAGAAACTTCTCTCCGGAGAATTTGCCCAAGCCCTTCCGGAGAGAAATGCACGAACCGGATCCGGAGCGTACGCCGTTACTTGGGAATACCTCACAAGGGAATACAAGCGAGACATAGTCTCACAGGATCGGAGTTTGGTTGCGTTTGGATATACTATATAGACCACATCCATGGGAAGTGGTTATGATGTACATGATTGGAATGACAGGCACGAATGCAAGGATGTAATACAATAGACACTATTTTCTCACAAGTGACCTAAAGCACCTGCTGAGCCTGATTCACCAATCTCCAAGAGCCAGTGCCCACGGAAGCCATGATAGAGTTACCAGGCGTATCAGGCTCATGACCCCCTCGAATGTGCTTTAGAGCAGCAGAATACTACACCAGTTAGCTTGAACTCAGTAAATGGTTTGTTGAGTTGGTTTACCTTAAATGCAAAATTCAACACCAGCGCAACAGCCAACCCAATACACACCACAATCGGCCCAAACAAATTATCCAAATCCTTCCCACTCCGCTGCCGGATAAGCCTCGCCCGCTTCTCATACATGTACCATCCCCAGCCCGCCGAAAACAGCGCAAACGTCGTGTACACGATGGATAACGCCCGCGCCACGTCGTTTTGCTTACCAGCTGCGTTGTAGAGACCCAGTGAGAGCGAGGAGAGGAGGATGCTGATGTGCAGCCATTTGATAAAGGTGCGCTGGTTGGCGAGCCAGACTTTGCTTTCTACGCGCACAGGGCCGGAGTCTTTGATCCAAATGCCGGGATCTTGGACGCCCGGGGGTAAGGGGGCAGAGTCGCGGAAGGTGCGGCTTGAGCGGGGGAACGAGGGGAAGAGGGAGACTAGGCGGGCCATTGTTGTTGTTGAAGGTTGGCCGCCCACTCTGTCGGTTTCGACTGGCTGTTCTTCCTCCTGTGCTGGTGGTGGCAGCTCCTGGCGGGGAGGTTCATGCTGGGCAGCAGAGGCCCTGGGCGATGATGGCACAGCCTGGGAAGGCTTGCTGGCTCGTGGAGAGCCGATGTCGCTGAACCTTGCCCCTGGTGAACCCATAGAAGCTCTGATTCTCGGGCTCATTTTGTTGCTGCCCCCCAGGAAGCTTCCAACTGCAATGTCGTCTTCGGCCCGCTTCGCAAGCCGTTCTTGTTCTTGGTGGAAAGCAGTTTCAGGATCCCGTCGGATGTCATTCTCCAGCTCACCCAGCCAGAAGGGAAAGTTGTTGACATTGTCTTCGAAGAGTTGTGCAACTCCGTGGACAAACTTGGAAAATCGAGGAGCTTCTTTGACCAAATGAGAATACATCAGATCATGCACCCACTCGGCATTAAGTGCATTTCCTCGAAGCTTGATTTCCAGCAGCGCATGCGGGAAGCGAGAAACCTCTCCGGTTCTGATTGCATCGAAGGGGTATTCCATCCGGTTCACGTCGATCTCGGAACGATGCCATTGGTCTGGGTTTCGGCAGGGACGCTCATCATCAAGCGAATCTTCCCGTATCAATGCCAGATCTGTATCAAGCGAGATGCGAATTCGATCGTCACCAGGAATTTGAAAGGCTGTGCGAGTGTAGTTGGCCCGAAGCATTGGCTGCAAATCGTGCTCCTTGATGAACGATTGCAGTTCCTCCACGTCCTTCTTAAGCGAATCAGCCTCTGCGGACTCTCCATTGCTCTTATCCTCCATCCGATGAACCTTCTTATCAAACCGATATTCGCCAGTGAGGAATTCTTGAACGTGTTTCTGTTTCAATTGCACCTTCACCTCTCTGCTTCGATCTTCATCGGTAACAGTTTTCTTCTCCAAGTAGATAGGCGGCTTGTCCTCCAGGTGCCCAGTCCAACGCAATCTGAGGGATCCGGCCTCCGGTTCCTTGAGGACTTTTTGATTGTACAGGTCAAATCGAGGGTTGTCGAAATAGAGGGATGTGATCGTAGGGTCCTCAGTCAACATGTCCAGCTCCTTAGAATTACCAGGATTGTAAATAAGAACTGGCAATTGTCGAAGAATGTAGGTCTTGACTTCGAGGATATTATCTGCATGAACCCAGAATTTGAACGACGAATAGGCATCATGACCGAAACGAGGCTCTCCAAGCTCTTCAGGATGGACGGCGCCATGGTTGAGGACTTCACGGACAAACGAATACATCACTGACAATCTGCGAACTAGAGGCGAATAATCCTCAGAGTTGAACGGAAGTTGCGACAACCGCACTTGCAGTAGAGGTTTGATGCGGTACCGCGCGCCACGCTTGCGATCATGCTTCTTTGCAGCTTTCAGAAAACCAGTGAAGTTGACACGGCTATACTTCTCAAGATGATTGACTTCCTTTGTAACGTTGTCCAGCTCTCGAAGAGCATCCGAAGCAATCGCTCTCTTTTCGTCCTCGTTCATCGCAGGTGTTTCCTGGTCTGTGGACGCAATTGGACGCAGCTTCGCTTCACAGGCAGAAGTACGCTCCCGAAGCTGCTGAGACGTTTTCACCTGAAAAGAATTGACCTTGTCCAGCTGAACATTGATCAGTTCCTGCACGAATGCCTCTTCGTCCTCCTCTGTCCATTGTGAACCTTCGGAATCACTGCCATCTCCGGTAACGTCCTGTTCTCGCAAAAGGACTTTGATTTTATGATAGTCGATGTATTTACCACTCCATGGAGGGTATATCGAGTTCCTCAGCGTTTTTCCGAAACGCATAGTGGGCGAAGACAGCGGGCGACGTCAGTTCGACGACAGATTGATCGAAGGGGTAGAAGGATCGACAGCTTGACACAGCGCTGGAGAGGCGTTAATTGAAGATATCGCACTCAAGCAGCAATAAGGACGACAATTTCAGACGTCAAAATCCAGCAGCATCAATCTTAATTGTCTCCCATCAAAAAAAGAAGGAAATGAAGAGGTTAAGGGAATGACAGAAGTACCAGACGGAAATGGAGCCATGATCCACGTCATGACCAAAGCAGTTAGTCTGACTGCGGTGTAGAGCACGTGCCATTAACTCTGGCCAATAATCAATTACATGACGTCGATAGCTTATCGGAAAGGATGATACATTGCCCCGAGATAGTGTTGGTCTGTAATGGTATTGTACTGGAAATTTCATGACAGGTTACCGATAAGTCCGATACATACTCCGCAATAAAGATTCACTTCACCTCATCCTCCTCGAGTCACCGCCATGACGGAGACCACTTCGCTGTCCAGTTCTCTTCAAAATGTGTTGACTGACCTTTATCAAAATCCTTATCCGCATGTTCCCAACCCGCCATTGTGCAAGAAACGTGCCTCCGTGGCCCTGATCCTGCGAGTCCGCCCTACATACAACCATTGGCCAAACACACCTTCTCCGTCACGGACTGATGGCTCCTCGGTCAAAGAACAATTAGATACGTTTTTTTCTCAGGATTGGGTTCAACATGGTGACCCAGAAGTTCTGTTCATCAAGCGGGCATCGCGTGTGGGAGATCGTTGGACGGGCCATGTCGCACTTCCTGGGGGGAAACGAGACCCTGAGGATGTGGATGATAAGGCTGCTGCAGTCAGAGAGGCATGGGAAGAGATAGGCCTGGACTTGACGACAGATGACTGTATTCATGTGGGAAATCTGCCGGAACGGGTTGTCACTATGAGCTGGGGGACTGTGCCGTATGTCATTTGCAATACAAATGCTCGTGAATCAACATGCTGACCAATATCCTCTCTAGGTTGATGGTCTTGTGTCCCTTTATCTTCGTGCTGACACGACCCGAATTCCCTACCCTCAATCTACAACCAACAGAAGTCGCTTCGACTCATTGGGTACCGCTCAGGGCTCTCTTATCATCATCGCTACGCACGATTGAATATGTGGATATGTCTCAACGCCTAGCGAATCAGGGCGGGTTCATTACTCGCCTTGGATTCAGATCTCTTGTTGGCATGATGCAATTCTCTGCTATCCAATTGAAGCCAACTGAGAGTTTGTATTGCAACTCGACACCAGGGTTCATACCTGAAGATAGCCAGATGAGTCAGTCTCTGTTTCAAAGGTGGAAATCTTGGTGCGTGAGCAGTCAAGTGGGCTCAAATGATCACGGACGCCCGCTTCTACTATGGGGTCTCACCCTGGGTATTTTGGCGGACTTTCTTGATATGCTCCCTCCACATACTGCCGTACAGCTATGGAACTATCCGACATTTACCCCTCCTGACCTACGGTTGATTGTGAAGCTAGTTACTCACAGCTTGAGAGAACATAACATGCTCCAAGTGAAGTCTGGAGCACGGCCTAGCAACACAGCAATGGATAGCCAAACTGCCGCAGTGGCGGTGACGGACAAAGCGCACCATCACGACCATAGTGAAGTTGGGATTGGTGGACTCGGGGTGGGAAGATGCTATGGGCCTTCGGACAAGGACCCCGACGGCAGAACCTACGCCGTTGGGATCATGCTCCGAGGATACTATGACCGACTCCGGGTTGCATTGTATGTCTTCTTGGGTTGGAGGATAGCCATTGGCTCGACGGCGGCGGTTTATGCGTGGAAGCTATGGCGGAATCGAGAATTGCTCTAGGGTTCCTGACATGAGATGTATATATTTGCCGGCCCTGCTACATAAAACATAGATGTAATATTGAAATTGACGGTAAATACAATACAATACCCTCCACATGCCGCGGGCGGTGAGAGCGGAGGAGCTTAATCGGGATGGGTATCAACGCCGCGGAAGCATCAACAACTATCAATAATCAACAATTTTTTCCTTCTCGCATCGCTGGAGAGCCTGATTTACTGCTCTCATCCGCGGCAATAATGGTGGCCACTCAGAAGCTCTATCCCCGCGCGACTGTCAAGCGCATTGTCAAGGCTCATGCAAACCGAAATGTGAGCAAGAATGCCGATATTCTGGTAAGTGGTGACCGTCTCTTCTGCATTCGATCCATTACAGATGACCGGTTACTGATTCTCTTTGCTTCTATTAGATCTTCCTGGACTACATGCTTTTTATGCAGGAGTAAGTCGTACACGCACTCGCCGATTGCCATGACCGGGGGGGGGGGGACGATTGTTTTCCATGGAGACAGGGTACAACGAAGCGACAAAAGGATAGTTTGCTAAGAGGAAATTTGGATACAGGTTGATGCGCGAGTCGTCGATTCGCTCGCGAAAGGCGGGCGAGAAGCAACTGTCCGCGAACAGTGTCCGGAAAGTGACAGAGGTAGGTCAAGTGTTCCTGAACCACCACTGTGTTCCCTACGGTGACACAGGTATAGAAAGACCGCATTTCTGACGTTTATTTGCTATCTTTTCTAGAGGACGCTGCGGAAGTTCAAGGGTTGAGTTACGCGATCCATCATGGCACCTGTTCTGTCGGCGAATCTGATATATTGCATGGTATAAAATTGGGCATTCTGGCGTTGGTTTGGATATTAGTATTGGGGCATTTTCGCCCAGGGACTATGGGGATATTATAATAACTGGGAAATGTGTCGAGGCGTTATTCAGAGGCTCAAAGATACCCAATTGAAATGCGGTTTTTACTTCTCATACTCAAACTATTGAAGATTTTGAATTGGTAGCTGTAGACGTATCACAATTGATCTGTAAACCCCGTGAATAAGGAGTTTGTCCTCACCGTACTTGTCGAGTGTAGGTGTGGTGGCTCGATTCTCCATCGCGCTTTGTTGTTTGTTGGGCTGCGCGACAAAGGCGGTTCGGAAGAGTTCCACCCACATCTTCTGCTCTTCTTCTGCCTTGTTCCTCTTCGTTTCCTCTTCCTCTTCTTCTTCTCTCTCCAGACATCAGCCACCTCTACTCCTGCGTCTTTTGCGCATCATCATTAAAAGTATTGTATTAATTTTCCTGCTCTCTGTTCCCCTCGCTCGACGAAGCTTACTGACAACTGGTTAGTTCTCGACCACATCACACTACCCACCGACCCCTCTACACCACCTACACATTTACCTTCGCGCAACACCATGGCAGCTGCTCCTGTTACCAGCAACCCTCATTCTGAGGCTCCCTCGGAAAAGCAGAAACTCAACGGTACCTCTTCGTCTGAAGCGACTGCCAACAGCTTGGACAACCTAGACAACCCGCGGTTCAAGGAACTTCAGAGGTAGGCCTGAGCTGGCGCTTAGAGTGCATATTCAAGTCCAGGAATGTGGAGACTGACTTAAACCCCGCCTTCTACTAGGAGCCTGCGCAATGCTCTGAAGAAACTGGTATGTCCAAGTTTGCTACCATTTCTGTCCCAATACTAACCGCAACTCATTCACAGAACGCGACCTCGAAAGTTGACTCCATCATCGCTGAGAACCCCGGAAAGTCGCTCGATGAGTTGATTGCGGACAAGAAGATCAACAACGACCAGAAGGCGCAGGCACTGAAGAAGCCTGCTCTGCAGGCCAACGTTGCTCAGATTGAGGAGCAAATTGCTCACTACAAGGAATTTGCTGCCTACTATGAGGAGCGCTTGGTTAGCCAGAAGGATGACTTGGAGAAGAGCCACAAGGAAGAGTTGGACTCTGCCCGGGAGAAGGCCATTGCGGAAGCTTCAGAAGCCAACCAGAAAGACTTGAGGAGACAGTTGCTCACCCTGAGCAAGTTCCTCCTTGCTGCCGCTGAAAAGAGACGGTCCGGGGATGAGTCCTCGACTGATGCTCAAGCATTTGAGGCTGTTCTTTACCAGGTCTACGCTGGTTCTGAGGATGCTGTTACCAACATGCTCAAGCTCATTGATGGTGTGGATGAGAAGATCACCAACCTCGAGGGTACGGAGCTTGACGCTACTTGTAAGGAAACCCATTCAAAGCCCCGTCCTAGTTATAAGTTACTAATTGCCTCTCTACCCAGACGGCAAAGTTAAGGAAGCCTCCGAGGGTCCTGTTCCTGCGCCTGAGGAAGCCACTACAGAGACCACTCCTGCCTCCGACCCTACTTTGGCCAATGCTGCCTCCACTGAACTTCAGGACACCGCCGTCGATGCCACGGATGCTACCACCACCGATGCTAATGGTACGACTGTTCAGACCGAGCAGATTGCCCCCCCGGCTCAGACAATGGTGTCTAATGCTGCCAACGAAATCGCGGAATCATCCTGGGATCCCAGCACTGGCGCCCCCGCTGATACCTCTGCGAGTGCGGACGGTTTGATTGAAGTGCCGCGGGACCCGGCGGAAACAGAGAACGGTCTCCAGGCGACCCCTGCATCCGTCGACACTGGCTTGAAGAACAACCCCACCGCCGTCCAGCCAGAAGCCGAGAATGTTGCGGTGCCCAAGCAGAACGGTGATGGCTTTGAGCCTGTGAGTGGTCACCAGAGACAGAACAGCGGCCGGGGACGTGGTCGGGGCCGTGGTCGCGGTGATGGATTCCGTGGCCGCGGCCGTGGTGAGTTCAGAGGCCGCGGTCGTGGACGTGGTCATGGTCGTGGCCGCGGCGGATCCAATGGTGCTCCGGCTGTCGCTGCTGCAGCCCAATAAATGGACCAAAATCGGTTGCGCACTGCAAACGCTCTACCGTTTGGTTTGTGATTATGCCTCACAGCCGTCGTTGAGCTTCGATTTCAGTGTCGCCCACCTTGCGCCGCACCTATTTCCTTGTCACTCTTCTTTCCTCTTTTGGTGGTTATCTGGCCTTCTTCCCCTTTCCTTTCATTAATGAAATCATGGGTTCGGCGGTGTTACGGTTCACGAATGCAACGAATCTCTTGAAATGTTCTATCCTGACCCTCAGCTTTTGGGTTGGATGACGGAAAATTTCCTGATTGTATATGTTGTGCAGTTATTCAGCGTGCATATCTTTCCTCTTTGCTTCCCCTCCTAATCTTGCTCAATATCTCCTCTAATGTCTTTTCTAACTCTTTGCATGTGACCTATGTTTTCTTAATGGCGCCGTCCTTACCGTTCACCCACGTTATTCTTATTATTCTGTATTTTACCCTTTTTGTGTGATGAAATTATGTTCTTCCGTGGGTGCAAGGGTTCTGGGCAATTGGTGTGGTAGGAATTGGGACTGGGATAGGCTGGAAGCAGCGTCTTGAGAGGAGTGAAGGAGACCTGGGTTGGTGTGCAGGGTGGGGTGGTTTCCGAATGGCATGAATGACATGATTCGAGCCAATTTCTTCTTTCCCGTATTACTATTGAGACCTCGTATACCTATTCAAGTACCTTGTAGATGTCTGTCCTGAAACGGAATATAGGGCTCAGGGCTATGACATAGCCACAGGCTCCGGCGTCTCGATCGCGTTTCTTAATTAATCCTACTCAATGCTTATTAACAACGCTCTTTTCTTTTGTACAACATGGCCTGATCTTTTTTCCCCTCTTATACTCGAATCTTCGCATTGATTGCGCTTTGTCTCTTCTGCAATTGCTCTCCTGCTAAAGCTTCATTATGGCGCTGGCTGCAGATCAACGGAGGAGCATCCTCAAGGTGTTGATGCTTTCGCTCCTTTTGGATCTGGTATAGTTTCTCGTTTTGATATAGCTGAGTTGCATATTAACATTGCTAGATCTCCTTCACCTTCATTCTACCATTGTTCCCCTCCCTCCTCACCTTCTACCGCAACCAAGACGACTCCCCGACCTCGCTTCTAAACCGCGTCTTCCACTACCTCAACGCGTACAAGAACTCCTTCGCCAAACCTATCGATTCGCGCTACGACATCGTCCTCCTCGGCGGCGCACTAGGATCGCTCTTCTCCCTCCTCCAAGCCATCGCAGCCCCCTTCATCGGCCGTCTCTCCGATCGCCATGGTCGCAGAAGAGCCCTGCTCTGTTCAATGGTCGGTAACATCTTCAGCGTAGCCCTCTGGGTCGCCGCGACGGATTTCCGGACGTTCCTGGCCAGTCGCATTGTTGGTGGATTGAGCGAGGGGAATGTACAGTTGGCGAATGCGATCGCGACAGACATCAGTGATGAAAGTCAGCGTGGTGGAACCATGGCGCTCGTGGGCGCATGTTTCAGTATTGCGTTTACGTTTGGACCGGCGTTGGGGGCGGGATTGTCGAGCATCACGACTGTTGCGGCGAACCCGTTTGCGACGTCTGCAGGTGTTTCGCTGCTGTTGATTGTTCTGGAGACGGCGTATTTGTGGTCCTATCTGCCGGAGACGCATCCTCGTCTTACGCAGCTGCAGCATGCTAAATCGGACGACGCTGCGTCCAAAAAGGACGATTCTTCCGCTTCGAAGGCGACGACCAAGCAAACGCACACCAACAACCCGGCCCTTCTTAACGCCTTACACCTCCTCTTCCTTTTTCCCTTCTCGGGCATGGAATTCTCCCTCCCCTTCCTAACGGCTACCTTTTACTCCGCCAACACAACAGCCAGTCCATCCGCGCTCAACGGCCGCCTCCTTTCCATGATGGGTCTCATCGCCTCCCTCCTCCAAGGAACCGTCGTCCGCCGTCTCCCCCCACTCGTCACACTGCGCATCGGCGTGGTCGCCTGCGCAATCTCGTTCTTCCTCCTCGCGCGGGTGTCCTCTCTCACAGGTCTCTACGGTGCAGGCGGATTACTGGCAATCACCAGCGCAACCGTGGTAACCAGTCTGAACAGCCTGGGAAGCTTTGAGGCGCGCGAGGGCGAGCGTGGGATTGTTCTTGGGAAACTGAGGAGTTGGGGACAGGTTGGCCGTGCGGCGGGACCGCTGTTGTTCTGTTCGCTTTTCTGGTTTGCTGGGAGGGAGATTGCGTATACCACTGGTGGGTTTGCGATGGTGGGTGTTTGCGTGGGGGTTTTTGCGACGTTGAAGTCGCCCCCTATTGCTGCCCCATTGAAAAAGTGATTTCTTTTTAGAAGTTGGGATATTGGTTTTATTATATTACATGGCCATTTTGTATTTTAGCTAGATTTCGTTTAGGATACTGTATACTGGCTGGTTCAGTGACAAAATAGAAATACATTTCATTCATTGGGCTCATTCATGATATCTGATGCTTTTTAGGACAGAGATCGTATGTTACCGGCCAGTCAAACAATGGTAGGGTATAAAAACACGAAAAAAGATATAGATACAAGCTGAGAAGAGATGGTAGATCCGGCGTCCTGCTCAAACCGCGAAACACGAGAATATCAGAAGACACCGTCAATATCGTTACGGCATTATAAACGTAGTGGGTTGGGTCACCCATTGGCAATGACAATGTGAAAATAGTCCGCATCACCAGTAGTTTGCCCGTGGTCAATCATGGACGAGAAGCATGTCGCCCTCTTTCGAGACTGAAATCCGAACAATTCTGTATTGCCAATCCAGGCGCTGCAGGTTCCAGCGAGCCCCTCGCCTTTCCAATCAACCAGTCCGTCAGGGTAACGAACTTAGCCGTTCGATCCCAGCCATTCGCATTATCAGCATGCTCAATGGTGTGCGTTAAGATGCGACCTTCCTCATCGAACGAAAAGATAAACAGCCCCGTAAACTGCTCCTCCTTGGACAATTTGAAGATCGGAGCGTCCCCGCCAAGCAATTTGCTGAGGCCCTTGTTGACGCCATTTTTCGATGATGCAGTACTCCCCGTCACAGACGGAAGGGCGCCTGTAGTCTGCGCATTCCCAGACCCCTCCCCGGAACCCTCTCTTGGTTCTGTCTTCCACCGCACGACCAACCGTTCATCCCCGCAATCGCTATCGCTGCGACGATCTGGATCCAACACCGTCCCTGCGCGGACGATCCGCTCGCTTAGGATCTGTAGCTTGACGTTTCCGACTAGGGGGAGGCTGCTCCATGCGACGGGGACGGTCCATAACGCTGCGCGATAGAGAGTACGACCTTTGACGGTGGGGAGATGCGGATGCGTCGATGGGAAGAGATGGAGGGCGATGCTGGGAGAGAGGATTGTGGAAGGGAGGGCGTTGAAGAGGATTGTAGGGAGGAGTGGCGAGAGGGTTCGTAGAGCTGTAGCAGTCAGCACCCATGATCATCGCAAATCGAGGGGCTACACACTCTTTCCCAATTTTATAATCCGTTCATCAGGCGGTTTGTGATCGTTATTCGAGTTTCCGTTGAGCCCCTCCAGTAAAGGTAAAGGTCGGGGATCCGCCTGCGAAAAGAACGAGGATGACGCCTGGACCAGCCAGGGATCATCTAGTACGCCATTCCGGGGCTGGGCTAGCAACCGCGCATGTGAGGAAACAAATGTATGACGGGTATTGAAACGGGATATCGACGGCTTGAAGGAAGACGAGGCATGTAGAGGACGTCGGAGAGAGCATGGCGAGGAGTGGATAGGGACTGGTTTCGGCATGACGGTATGCAATTATGATAACAACAGACGAGGAACAGATTCAATCAGAAGACAGAGAATGGATATATCCAGCCGTACAAGACGACAACGAATCGCTGACGGTGGTCAAGCCATGTGTTGAGTTGGAGAGTGTTGGTTGGAAATTAAAGATGGATTTTCTTCGCCGGAAGAAAAATATCGGAATGGACCGATGACGTTGATGGCCGAGCGCCGATGCGGAGATTCTAGAAGATGTCTATAGGAACATTGTATAGTTAGAAGGAATCTATATAAAAGGAATCTGTACCCTTCTATCAATTGCTTGGAATGCAATACGTGGAAGGTGGTGGTCAGCGTGTTTGTAATGCTGGTGATTGGTCGTCATTCTATACAACTCGGACTATGGACTAGATACTAAGGCATAAGATATATCCAAACAAAACGAAAAGAAATGTCATAACGGAATCAAGCCAATTCATCATCATCCTCTGCGATTCCCATAAACCGTTTCTCTGCCAGATCCCGGATTTTGTCCTCTAATACTCCCCGGCCATACCGCTCGGCCACCTTCATTGCGGCCTCGACCATCTTGCCGTTACGATCTCGCATCATCCGCACCAGTTCTAGGGCCTTCATACCCCGTTCCTCGCCTTCTCTGCATTCGACGGCCAGCATCTGCAGAAGCGTCTTGTCCAGCTCCAGTTCCTTCCGTGCTAGTTCAGCCCGCTGTGCTGGCGTGGCATTCGTGGATGACAGGAGATCCTGGAGCAAAGACAGAAGGATATTACTGCGGACGAATGCCTCCTCGAACTTGGCGCCTTCGTTGTGCGCAGCAGCAGCAGATCCATCTTCGTCGTCCTCGCTCGGGGCTTTGTTGGGCGTATCGGAGATGGGGATCCGGAAGTCGAATTCGCTGAGCAACGGGCGAGGGAAATAGGGGTATTTGTCTCCTCCCTTGAGAATGATGCAGTGGAATTTTCCTTGAGCAACAGCAACCGGCCAGTATGTCTCTTCTTTCCGTCCACCGGCCAAACGCTCCAGTTGCTTGGTGTCAAGCAGTGGCACCCAGCGAGCTTGGCCCGTAGTGCGCCAGTGTTGCAAGATGAGCAAAACGCCTTCTGAGTCATAGATACAGGGGTCCTATGGGTTCCTTGTTAATACACGGCCCTAAACAAGCCAGCCGGAAAAGAATTCACTCACTCCTGAGTCAGAAAAGAAGACGCTCCGTAATTCTGCTCCTTCTGGGAGGGCAACTACATCCTCGTTTTGACAGATTTCGTCACGTTTGACATTCTCCAAAGTATAACACAGCGTTGCGGTGCGGCCATCACTGCTCAACGGTCCATTTCCAATCGTCATGATGTAGTCCCGCCAAGCAGCGCAGGTCACAGCTGGGCTCTTTTGTCGGTACACCTTGTAAGGTGTTCCAAACAATGTGTATACGCGCACGTAGTCTTTTGTCGTCACAGCCACGATGTAGGAGTCACTCAGCGCCAGCGCTGTTTCACGTCAGTCTATAGCTATATCAATACCGGTGATTGGGATTTACCTCTAATTCCTTCGCCAGCCGGCAATTGTGTTCGCCAGTCAGCTCTCGTGGTCCATGTCTCATGAGGTCGATAGAATATCGTCGCAGGATTGCCGTCCCTAGGACTGTTGGAAAATAATGTGCCATGCCCATCTAGATCATCATTAGCACTGTTCTAAATCGTCAACCAGACTCCATAGCACTTACTTAGACATGCCTTATCATATAGATACGGGTCAGTGAAATGAAAGTCTCGATGCAGTTCTCGGTCATAAAACTCCACTGTGACTGTGTTATGCGTCTCCTGATCGACGGTCCAGACAGCACCCGTCAAGTTCAAACTAAGATACCGTCGACTGCCTCTCCACGGCGTGCTTCCAGGCTGGAGTGGAGAGTGGATTCTTGGCTTGGAAAATGAAGTCAATAACCGTTTTTCCGCGTGACCATCGGGGTCATCCAGGTGCTCATTTGTCCGCTTGCCGAATGGGTTCATGCCTTCAGCGTACCCAGCGCCATCATCGTCATCAACGAAATCTGCCATGCCCGCATCGGAACCACCAAGGATATCATCGAGAGAGTCAGGAGTGCCTCCCCTGCGTTCGATCGTCTCCTTCGGCCTACTGGCCAGTGGCCGTCTCACATTTTCGGAGATCTCTGTCAAGGGCCCGGGGAAAATAGGTGCGGCTTGAAGTGGTTTCTGAAGGAGCGACTGATGGTTTTTTGATACAAAATCGTCATAGATAAAAAGCTCTCCGTCCGACGTCGTGAATGAAAGCGAGTTTCTGGTGGGATGCCAGGCGAGGTTGATCACGTTCGGGAAGTCGTGGCGTTCCAAGACCTTCTGGCTTTTCGTTTCCCAAAGTAGGATTTGTCCATCTGCCCCAGCTGTAGCAAGAAGCGCACCATTGGGTGACCAACTGATCGCCGTGACGTCTCCATTGTGACCACCCGAGAAAACCTTCTCTTTCTTCCATTCGGCTGTAGAATAAATAGCGATGTCTCTTGTTGCTTCAGCGGACGCGAATGCCGTTCCATCAGGATGCCACACTGCTCTCGACGTGGCCTCGTCTTCGGGTTCAAGTCTTCGAATCACGCCGTCGAGTTTTCGCAGCAACTCCGGTTCCTCCGAGACCGTGGAGTAGATGTAAAGGATACCGTCCGTACAGGAAACCGCGACATATCGTCCGCTCGGGTCGAATGTGACATGTTTTGTTCCTTTTCCTTGCTCGCGAAGGTATTTCACTTTGGTCATGTCCTCGATGTTGACAATCTTCACGGTGAGCTCACTGGTTTCAGACAGCTGTTAGCTCTTTCCTCTCGCCGTATTAAACCACCGTGCACAAACTAACTCGCTCGCAACTGCAGCCCATTCTCCATCATTCGAAATCCCAATATCTCTTACCGGCAGAGCGCATCGTACCAGTAACTTTTCCATCCTGCCCGAGTTGATCTCATATTGCCAGACCGTTCCATCTTCTGCTCCCATGATAAACGAGTTGTTCTACCAAGCACCCATTATTAGCCCCTCGAAGTTCCTTCCCGACCGGTCAAGAAGTGTTGGCAATCATACAGTGGCACCAATTCCCAGGTTTCCGTCCACGCCCTCGTCGACTGTCGTGGGCTCGCCATCTTGTCCGACAGTGTAGATTCGAATCGCTGAATTGGAACCGCCCGTAATGACTCGACGACCATCGGGTGTATATCCCAAGACTGTTGTCCCTGGGGTATCTAATTGCGGTTGGCCATTAGCAATTCGTCCTAGTACAATAAAGTAGTCTCTTCGCTCTGACTTACGAGCTGGTCTCCCCCGGGGACGAATCGCTTCGGAGGACATCACGAAAGCGACTTAGAGAATTGATTCAATATAGGGATTGAGAACGTATATCAAGCAATTCGCGCCATTCAAAGCGTCGTCCACCTCAAGTTGAAGTCTCAATGCAGTCAAGTCGGAGATCTACCTCGACGCGTCGCGCCGCATCACGCGTCGCGCCGCAGGGAATTTAGCCTAATTAGGTATTAAAAGGGCTTAGGGCACAAGGTCAGGGTTGGCTTGTTTCTCAAGGTTTATTTGAATTACTTCAGCACACGACTCTATTCGTATTCATCTGACGGTCCATTTGCAGCAAGAAAATCGAAATCAGCTCCATCTTGCGCCTGGTTTACCGACCGTTCATACAACCCAAAATATCCCCGTCTCCGTTTCCTTTGTGCCAAAACACCCTGCTCCTCTAGGGTCTGTTTCCTCTGCTCAATGCGAGCACCTAACAACTCGTCGGAAACATCAAGATGAAGTCGCCTCTCAGTCAAATCGCAGGTGATCAAATCACCTGTCTCAACAACGCCAAATGGTGACTCTGGCAGAGCTGACTCGGGCGAAATGTGAAGAACAATCGTACCGCCTGCAGTACCTGACATTCGTCCATCTGAAAGGCGTAACATATCTTTGACTCCCGCCTCAGCAAGTTTCCGCGGGATGGGGATCAAACCTGCTTCGGGCATCCCGGGATTTCCGATGGGACCTATTCCTTTTAGGACGAGCACCGAATCCTTTGTCACGGGAAGATCCGTGCCATCGATTCTTGTTGCCAAGTCGGCTGTATTTTCGAAGACAACGGCGGGTCCTGTGTGGGAGAGAAGCGAGCGGTCTTTGGATGCGGACGCTTTCATAATCGCCCCGTTCGGAGCCAGGTTTCCGCGGAGGACAGTAAGGGAAGAATCGGGGTACAATGGATCAATTAACGGTCTGATGATCTGCTGTGAGAATGAGAAGGTCCGGAAAGTAGACGCATCTAAGACCTCGCCCAATGTCTGGCCTGTAATAGTCATGGCTGATAGTTCAAGGAGTGGGTGAAGGGTAAGTAGCAATGCCAACATGCCTCCTGCGTTGTGGAAATCGTTCATATAATTTTCCCCGCTGGGCTTCAAGTCAATCAATAAGGGTGTGTTGCGTCCAATTTCTTCAAATGTCTGCAACGTTATCACACCTTGAAGGGCAGGATGCCGATTCGCGATTGCCATCAAATGCACGACCGCGTTCGTTGAGCCTCCTATTGCCTGGAGGACGATAATTGCATTCACAAAAGATTCTTTCGTCAAAATCTCTTGTGGCTTCCGTTTGATCTTCGCGACGGCCACAGCATTCGCGCCCGTCTCTTCAGCGATCCGGAGCCTTGCAGAGGATACTGCAGGCGCTGACGCACCCCGGAGCGGCATCATGCCCAATGCAGCAGTGACGCATGCCATTGTACTGGCAGTTCCCATGACACCACACGTTCCAATCTGGTTAACGCATTAGCTACCTGAGCATAGTCTCGAATAAGGACATGAATACGAACGGTCGGTGCGAGTTCGTCGTTAATAGCTGAGATCTCCTCGATATCGATCTCCTGCGCACGAAAAGCTGCCCAGTTATTCCGGCAGTCAGTGCAGGCGCCGATTCTCTTGCCCCGGTGGCTTCCCGGTAACATCGGGCCCGTGATGAGAGGCAGGACCGGCTTGTTTGCTGAGATGCCACCCATAAGCTGTGCCGGGACGGTTTTATCACATCCTACTATTGTCAGTGACAATGAAGCATTCATAATTCATAAAGTACACATACCACCAATCGTAATACACGCATCAAGCGGATGAGACCGGATCATCTCCTCCGTGTCCATACTCATCAGGTTCCGCAGAAACATGCTAGTCGGATACGAAAAGGATTCATGAACACTGATCGTGGGAAATTCAATAGCTAGTCCCCCATTAAGCTGCACACCACGTTTAGCTGCCTCGATAAGCTGTGGTACATTTGCATGACACGGGTTGAAGCCGGAAAATGTGTTCACTATGCCGATGATAGGTCGGGAGAGGGCATCTTCGGAGTATCCCAAGCTCTTAATGAATACTTTTCTGAGGAATAGAGAGAAATGCGCATCGCCGTATGATGTTAGGCCTTGTCGAAGTCCTGAGGTAGAGGAGATTGGGGTCGATAGATCATAGTCTTTGCTCAGATGGGGTGTCTCATCGTCTTGTGTCATTTTCGATGTGAATACCCCAGCTTCTATGTAGAGCTGGACGAATTGCTTGAATGCATAGCTTGCGCATAGTGGGATTGGCTACCTTTATAGTTCTTCTCCAATGCCCACGGCGATTGTTGTTGTGATCGGCCAAAGTCCGTCCCCGGATATTTCTCCGCATTGATAATATGGTTCGTCATGCTCGTTATTGGTCTTCGCAATCAGTCCAGTGCATGATGAATGAAGCTTAGCTCGGTACTGGCATATACATATTAAATCATTATATTTGTCTATGAATTGTCGTGAGGCCTGATCTGAATTTTGAAACCGCCACGCATATGCCACCATTCCCTCTATCAACCAAAAAAAAGAAAAATAAAATAAAACAAAATTGATGGCTTATACTCTCGCCGTCATCCGCACTCTGACATCTTTCTTTGGTGAAAATGTTCCTGGAGATGCCTTGCGCCCTGGGACAACCAAATGCTTTCCACGCATCGGTTCAATGTCCCACATGGAGACAATTGCAGCGATGAAAGCCAGGTTCTCCCTCTCTGCCAGGACACGCCCTTTACACCTCGTTACGCCGCCACCAAAAGGCTTGATGGTGTACATCTCGGCCCGTTTGGCGCCCGTATCGGGATCTGTCGTGATGAATCTCAGAGGATCGTATCGGCTTGGGTTCGAGAAGTATCGGGAATCGTTCTGGAGAGCGCCATGCGAAATTGCAATGCTGTTGCCTTTGGAAAGTTTGTACACCCGAGGTTGTTTTAACCCATCAATGGCAGCATCCTCTTTAGATTCCGTAAGGGTCAGGTCGGAGTCAAGTTCCTTGAGCGAAAACCCCGCAGAATCCAAACGCAAGGTCTCGTAAAAGCTGGCTTTCAATAGAGGACAAGAAGTGAATAGTCCCTGAGAGTCAATCTTGATTTGAGGGGGCTCTTCGAACGGAAATCCAGTCTCCTCACGGCTGGGTCGGGATGCCTTCACATAAGGAGCAATTTCTTTCCGAATATCTTCCAGCAGCGAAGGCTCAGCGTACACGCGAATTAAGTTCCAAAACACAATGTTCGTCGTATTTCCATTTATGGCCCATAGCATAGATAGATGTGCCGATGCGCTGACCAACGATGAAAAGCCCATTCTGTGCATAGCACGGGCCCTTTGCTTAATTGGCTCTGCAATATCATCGAGATCACGAAATTTCACACCAGGGTCTCTACCATCATCCCAAGCGATGAAAGCTTCTTGGAAAGTCGCCAAGGCCTGCAAAAGTCGACTCCGGGCTTTGTATGCCGCAGGGAGACCCGGAATTGGTAACCAACGGCGCGCACCTTTCGACAGGTTTGAGAACTGACTATCCAAGATCCACAGGTCATCGAATAGGTTTGGGAAATCCTCTATTATGGCCTGGCCAAAAAAGCCGCCCGTGGTGATTTGCGCAGCAAAATTCCGTACCAGAGCAAATAGATTAGCTTCGCAAACATTTTTCCCATCGATGTTTTCGACTGTGACTTCACTTGCGCGTTCCCAAGGCGTCTGATCCACCATACTCCAGGAGAAAGTCACCAGATTCGGGGTTTCACGCTGAACCCGACGAATAAACGCAGTCGTGGCTTCAGTGATGAACGGTTCCTGGAGAAAATGGCTGACATATTGATGAAGCTCTTGTCGGTCAGCAGGACTCATCTTGCGCACTATGCCCGAGTCGCCGAAAACCCTCTCCATCACACGGTCGATAAATGGGGAATTGGATGCGCCTCGAAATGCAAAGACAGACTGGGCCATAGACGGCGAAGCCACCACATTTTGTTTCGCACCACCAAGGATAATGCCAAAGACGGGCTCACCCATGTAGTCCCTAGTAATTCTATTAGCTCCCATATAAATTGTGCTTGGTAAGTCCACGGGGAAGCTAACCTAGCTTCTCTCACGCAGCTCGTCATATTCCACGCAAACGATAAGCCGTGTCCCAGCCATGGAAACCAGTATGGGGCCATTCTCACAGGCCGGAAATCCCCAGAATCTGTCTTGCTAGAGCGGCATTGGAAGTCCGTGATGATACGTGTAGTGATGCAAGTAACGGTCAGAGTAACCAGAACAGTCACCCATGTTAGCCCCGAAAGTGCATCTTTAACAATTTCTATCAAGTTATCTGCCAACGATAGATAGTTTTCCATTTTGAATTTTCTTCAGATGAAGAGAAGAGAGAGGCAACGCGGGAGAAGACACCCGACTGACTCGGACGAGCACAGAGCCAGGCCAAGGAGTATCAAGTAATAAACTATGATTATACCAAATAGAAACCAATCACTCCTTTGGTTAAATTTGAAATGTCAAAAACAAAAGGGGTTGTATAAAGACAGGGATTCAAATACGTGTACTGGCTTCAGCGCAGCATGATGGATGACAAATTATGCAGATTTATGCAGATTTATGCATATGGATTATATAAAGTTATGCTTCACAAATATCAACTGGACAGGTTGTGATTCTCAAAGGAGTTTCAATTACTATCATGAAGGTAAGTAACTACTTAATTCTAACATCCCGGAACGCCAGAGTCGTCGACACATAAAGGTTAAGATCAATTACCACTCTTGAGGTTCTTCTGGAGAACTGCACTGTCATTCTCATATTGCCCGATCTTGTCCTGGGACTTATAGATCTTTTCCAAAAGCCAGTGAATCCTCGGGTGAAGTTCTCGAGGTTGTTTTGGCAGGGCGCCCAATACAGCGAGTTCTTCTTCATGCTTTGTGATGGAGCTGTTCTCTTTCTTCAACAGCTGCGACAGAATCGAAAGATCCAGACGGCTGCTCAATGCTTTGTTCTCGGCAACTCGCTTGAATGCCGTGCGATAGACTGGCTTCGCTGGTTTGACGGTGTGTGGGAACCCGTTGGTGGCACTGATCGCGATGAGTTCTGCTTGTTCCAGTGCGAGGAGGATCGCTTCGCCGTTCTCCTTGAACAGGTCTGATGTAAGTACTTTGTTGTATGGCAAGGTGCCATCCTCAGAGTGACCGAGGGCTTTGATCAAGTGCCAGGCCTGTTCACGAGTCCAGTGCTGGGGCTGATTGTCAGAGCCCAGGATAAAAATCTTTAGAATCTCAGAAGCGGATTGCTCGATGATACGGTTGACAGCGGCTTTCATATGTTAGAAAAAGAAATGTGAAAACCATAGCATTGCATCCACATTGACTCTTACCTTTTGGAGTTTCTCCCGCTTCAATTCGATGCGCCATGAATTCCAAATCTGATACTCGACCTCCCAGCACCTCAATACAGTTGTCCAAGTCCTTCATGTCATCTACAGTCTTTACTTTCTCGTTGCCATCCTCCATACTCGACTCATACGCCAGAAGATTGAGGACGAACTTCCTTCCGACGTCTAACGAGCAGTCACCCATGGGGATGACTCGCAGTACCTGGTTAGGCAAAGCTTTGCTGAGAGGTTTAGCGAAAGATACATCTGTTGTCAAGAAGATCACATGAGCAATATACTCGGTCGTCAGTCCGGCAGCCCATTCAGTGATCTTGTCGTACACCACGCTGTTCTCTTCCGCGTTGTGCAAATAGTTGTCAATGATCACGACTGGGCGCCGTTCAGGGTGAGCCTCCAGGTACTCATCATCAGACAGATGAACGTCTTTGTCATCTAGTTTTCTCGCTTCCAAGCCGACTTTTCTCAAAGCAGTAGCAGTGCTCTGCCAGATATTGCTGAGCTGGCTGTCCAATGTCTCTGAAAGGCCTGCCTTGGTACCAATCATACCCTGAGATGCGAGATCGATGAAGCTGCTGATACTGTTCATCCATGAAAAGACCGGTCGATAGCCAACCTGCTGGGCGGCTCTTGCAATCTTTGCAGTGTCTCCTCGGGCATCTTGGATCTGCTTGCAGTCGATGACGACCTTATGTTTATAGTCCTTCAGCACATTGTCTAGCACGAGTTCACGTTTCCCTGAGCCACGTGGTCCTTGGACGACGATAAAGGTCTCGACATTTTCCTGTAACCATGATTGCAGCTGTGAGATATCGCCTTGACGGTCTTCCCAAATGGCACTGAGGCCGCGAGGATCGGCTCTCCGGTTTCCGAAATATATGATGTTCGCCTTACTAATCTGTTGGCGGGCCCAGTGCAAGAATTCGTTCTCTTCCGTCGGAAGCGTGGCTTTAATCTTTATCTTTATAAAGAATGTGCGCATGGGATCAAATACTGTCACAGAGATGGCCGCAATCAACGCTGCGAGGGCGGGGATCACAATCCTCGGATGACTAAAGATCCAATCCTTAATCATGGACAGTTTGATCTTTCGCTCATATACTATCTTGAACTTAGTCCCGGCCTTGCCACCACCGTGCTCTTCCGGGATCGTGAATCCATGCAGACAATTCCGCGCCATGACGGCGTACCGGAGTCGAGAGAACTCCACATGGGCATATCGTGGGTTGGTCTTTGAGTCTGACGGTTGAGGGTCGATCTCCTGCAACTTTCCATATGGACGAAGAAGAGAGTACAGATTCTCAATAGTCAATTCCGCCGCAGAAGTCTCTGGCGAAGTCGGCAAGAACTCCACCCTAAGTCTCTGACTGGGGATACGATAGAGATCCTCAATCCATGGCTTTCCCAGCACCCGGCTAACATAAACCCCTTGGAAAGGATTAAACCAAGGTCTGATTGGATTCTGCTGCAGGTGATCTTTGATAGCGTCCTCGATCTCAATGTCCGAAACATTGGACTTGGGTGAGTATTTGACGAATGCACCGCCTTCTTTCGTACGGGGGATGACCTCTTTGATTTCCAGTGGTAGATTGTCCGGTAAGGCTCGTTGGATGATATGAATTGGCTCAGATGCAGCGAAATGCGGTCGATCGATCCGTTTCAATGCTTCCTCGTACGACCAGCTTCCATCGAGAGGGTTTCCTAGTAGCCATTGTAATCTGGACGGGAAGATGTCTTTTCGGTCAGTCATGACACAGACAGAGCCCAGTACAGATTAGACCCTTACTATTGATAAAGAGCAACCCTTCCCCCTTGTTCACACCAATATGACCCGACTGAAGAGACGAAGCCCGCCGTAGATTGGGCGTAGAAGTATACGCGGGGAAGACCTTCGGAGATCTCCAGCGTACTGGGACTCCCGACGAGGCAATTCGCATCATCTCTGCGGGACTGGGCGCATGGCGATGCGGACTGTACAAAGAAAGAGAGAAAAAGAAAACAGAAGCCTGAGAAGAATGGCCGAAGTTGTCCAGAGAGTCTGGCAGCAATGACGTCGATCACCTGCTGCTCCGCGATTACAACATGTGACGGCTTATTACAATATTTACATAGTAAATGTGTATCAATACCGTTATTGGGTGTTTTTAAAATTACGCTACGATTACCTCCGATGTGATTGTACGATATTCACGCCCACCTCCGACGCAACTCCAGAAATAACTCTCATATCAACTGCACAATGGGCTGGTGGTGGTCATCATCTCCTCAAAAAGACGAATCGTCGTCTCCGGCTGCGACTCCAGCCCCTGACGCAGCGCAATCGAGGACCTTAACGCGAGACGAGGACGAACTCAAGAAGTTGTTCGCTGCATTCGAGAGCAGCAATGCCAACAATAACAATGCGACAAGCCCAAAATCATTAGATCCCTCATCCTCGACACCCACTACCGATTCCTTTGCAAACCAACAACCACAACCCCCCTCAATCGCTCCCGAATCCCTCTACCAAGATACCATGTCCTGCCGCTCCGCATTCGACTACGCCTTCTTCTGCCAGTCCTTCGGCGGCCAATTCGTCAACGTCTACCGCTACGGTGAACTACGCTCATGCAGCGAGCACTGGGATAACTTCTGGCTCTGTATGCGGACCCGGTCATGGGGGGAGAATGAACGGAGGAAGGCGATCCGGGACCATAATCGTAAGAAGGCGATCAAGTATAAGACCGGGCCGAGTAGTGAGGATGTGTGGGATATGAGAACGCAGCCGGTGCAGAATGTGTTCCAGGGGGATTTTGCTGCGCTGGAGAAAGAGATGCAAGCTGAGGAGGAAGCGGGTGGTGCTGGGGCGCGTGTTTAGTTGAGTTGAGGTCAATGGTTGGTTGGTTATGATGTGATGTGAATTTCTTTTCTTTGGTTCTTTATTCCTAGGATGGTTATGATGATATACCTGTGGAAGATTGATCACTGTACAATAGACTGTTTCTACTCTTGAATGAGCCTATGGTATTCACTTTTGTTTAACTAGAATGAGATTCTCCCTATTATACAAAGCAGACATTCCCTTTATCTTTATTATTATTGTCCTGTTCTCATTGAGTGTCAATGCTCTTTTTCTTCTTTTGATTTATTCACCATCTTTAATAACAAGAATACAAAGAGTCTTGTTTGGATAAAAACTGCATTATAAAGACGCCATGGAATGAAACTACCAGCATCAGATACATGGCACTTCTCAATATCCATAGTTTCCTAGAGAATCAAGTCGATCCAACCTAGTCTAGAAACGCACCATACAAACATGTATATACGCTTCTCCCGCTTCTTCCCGTCCTTCAAGCCCTTATCGGACTCGAACTCGAAGGATATATCCTCACCCTCGACATTGTCCCCATCGTCACCCTCGATCCCAGACTCCAACTTGATCTCGTCCACACGAACCCGAATTCCATTCCTCTCTCACCTCCAATCCAAACAACAGCAGAAACAAGTCCGCTGGGGCCCAATCACCGAAATCCCCCCAATCAAACCAGAACCAGAGGCACGTCCACATCCACTCCGAGGAAACCCCCTCCCCCAACTCAAATCCAAACCCAAGCACAGCAATGCCAAACCAATCCGCAGACCCCCGACCCCATTGGACCAAGAAATGTTCCACAGAAACCTCTGGGAGATGATCCACCAAGCCGAAGCAAAGGTAAAGCTCAACTACGAGTATCTGAATCTCTCCGGTGAGAGTGAGCGTGATGATCGTGTCCTCGATGCGTGGTTCAGGGTTGAGGAGCAGGCGATGCATAAAGGGGTGAACAGGGTTGCTAGGACTCCGGTTCAGGCGCTGGTGCAGGCGCAGGCAAGGCCGAAGATTGCGAAGAGGAAAAAGAAGACGAAGAGAGTCAAGGTTTGTTTGGCGAGGGGAGTGTTGGAATCCGAGAAGGAGGGAGGACTTTTTGGTGAGGCTGAGGTGTCTTTGAAGGGTATGGAGATGGGCCAAGGTGCTGAGAAGGCTATGGATGGCTGATTGTGTTTATTATTATTATCGAGCTCTAAAGCTATGACAGACCATTTTCCATGAGCCCGAGGCCTACGGCTAGCCTGCGGCCTCTTGTCCCTGTGAGTCCCTGAGGCAAGCCTCCTTCTATCATCTTTCTGATCCTTTTCCTCGCCCCAAACCGCCTGTATGCGCAGGGCTTTTGAGCCTCAGGAGAGTGCTCTCCCTGTGTTTTCGGGGCAGGGTGGGTGTGGCCTAGGGATTGTGTTGTTTTGAAGTTATGGGTTGTCTAGATATATTGAGAGGTCATTGACAGCTGGATTCCCATGCATATGCTAAGCCAAAATCATGTACAGGTATTGGAGGCAGCCACTGTATTCAACCGATAATAATATGTACCTCTAAGAAGTTTCTGTAGATCAGACGCTCGCATAACAGCGTAACAATTGAACAAAATAAAACCAGCAAACAACAAGTAAATCACCTGAACGAACCAGTCTCCTCGTTTTTCAGTCCCCCGATTTTGGGTATCCACCAAAACATTACCCTTTTATCTTTCCGACGCCCAACTCCGTTGACAATTGGTATCATGAATCATCCCAGTAATGCGCAACCACCAAATCCTTGGCCAATAGTAACTACAGAAGCGCTGCTTCATGCGACGACGATGTTCTCGGTAGTTTGAGGAACTGCATCAATGGCTGGACGACGGATAATACCGCCGGTGACTGGAAGCCTGGAGCTGGTGCCCACGAGGAATGCGTCGACTTCGCGAGCGCACTGGCGACCCTCATTGATACCCCTGTGAAAGTCAATTAGCAACTAAATCATAATCTATAAGACTGAGAAGTGACCTACCAAACGATAAGAGATTGTCCGCGGCGGCAGTCACCCGCAGCAAAAACGCCAGGAAGATTGGAAACGTAATGACCAGGGGGAGTCTTGACATTCTTTCGAGCATCACGCTCAATTTCGTCACCCAGAAGACGGTCCTCGGGACCCAAGAAACCCATGGAAAGGAGGACAAGATCGGCAGGGAAGAACTGCTCACTGCCATCGACGGCCTTCATGTCCCAACCGCCAGAGGCACTCTTGCTCCACTCAACCCGAACGGTTCTGATTCCCTTGACACGGCCGCTACCATCATCGACAAACTCCGTCGACATGACACAGTACTCACGAGGGTCATTACCCATATGAGTCTTGACTTCTGAGTGACCATAGTCGACACGGTAAATACGCGGCCACTGAGGCCAGGGGTTGTCACGAGCACGCTCCGGCGGAGGCTGGGGGAGCAGCTCAAAGTTGGTAACAGACTTGGCGCCGTGACGAACAGAAGTACCAATGCAGTCGTTACCAGTGTCACCACCACCAATCACAACAACGTGCTTGTCCTTGGCAGAGATATACTCGCCGTCGGAGAGACCCGAGTCAAGGAGCGACTTGGTGTTGCGGTGCAAGAACTGCATAGCGAAGTGTACACCGTCGAGCTCACGGCCAGTGACCTTGAGGTCACGAGCGACAGTAGCACCCGTCGCAATAACCACAGCATCATGGCTCTCCTGGAGAGTCTGCAATGATATCTCGTTGTCGGGACCGACGGCAACGCTGGTAACAAACTTAACACCCTCAGCCGCCATGAGGTCTACACGGCGTTGCACAACCTTCTTGTCCAACTTCATGTTAGGGATACCGTACATCAGCAAGCCACCAATCCGGTCAGCACGCTCATAAACCGTAACACTGTGGCCGGCGTGGTTGAGCTGATCCGCAGCGGCCAGACCGGCAGGACCGGATCCAATAATGGCAACAGTTCTTCCGGTACGAGTCTTGGGGGGACGAGGAATCATCCAGCCCATCTCAAATCCACGATCAATGATGGCGCATTCGATGGACTTGATGCCAACTGGGTCTTCGTTGATACCAAGAACGCATGCACCCTCGCAAGGGGCAGGGCAAACACGACCAGTGAATTCGGGGAAGTTGTTAGTCATCAGCAGACGGTTCAAAGCATCTTGCCATTGGTTCTGGAACACGAGTTCATTCCACTTGGGGATGATGTTGGAGATAGGGCAGCCAGTGTCTGATTGACAGAACGGGACACCACAGTCCATGCAACGAGCGGACTGGTACTTGAGCTCATCCTCGCTCAGACGGCTGGAAATCTCACCCCAGTCCCGGGTACGACTGATCGGGTTGCGGTACTTTTCACTGCGGCGGCTATACTTCATGAAGCCTCTCGTCTTGTCGAGGATCAAGGCGGATCGCTTCTTCTCGGTCTTGGAATCGCTGATACTGTCCTCAATGTCCAGCATATCCGTCTTCTTAGAATCTTCGTCCGCCTTCTGCTTCGGCTTCTCCTTGTTCATAGGAGTACCTGGGAGCTGGGGCAGAGTAAACTCCGCTTTCTTAGCAGCCGCAGCTTTGGCGGCCTCTTCTTCCAAGATGCGCTTGTAGTCCCTGGGCAGCACCTTAATAAAGTGAGGAAGAGCACGAGTGAAGTCCAAAAGAACACGAGCAGCGAGCTCGGATCCAGTGTAATGATGGTGATCCTCAATCAAGCCGCGGACGAAAGCAATCTCAGAGGGATCCTCAAGGCCTGAGATCTCAACCATCTCCATGTTGACCTTGGAGTGGAAGTCTTGGTTCATGTCCAGAATGTACCCAATACCGCCAGACATACCAGCCGCAAAGTTGCGACCTGTAGATCCGAGAACAAGCACACGACCGCCAGTCATATACTCGCATCCGTGGTCTCCAATACCTTCCACCACGGCGGTGACACCGGAGTTCCGAACAGCAAACCGCTCAGCGGCCATACCACGGAAGAAGCAAGTACCACGAGTAGCACCGTAGAGACAGGTGTTACCGACGATGACATTCTCCTCAGCCTTGAAAGCAGCACCGCGGGGCGGGTAGATAATGAGGCGACCACCCGATAAGCCCTTGCCGACGTAGTCATTAGCATCACCCTCAAGCTCAAGTGTGATACCAGGTGCAAGGTAGGCACCAAAAGACTGGCCAGCAGAGCCCTTGATGTTTGCATGGATGGTGTCCTGCGGAAGCCCATCTCCACCGAAGCGACGGCTGACCTGATAAGATAGGGTCGCACCCAGGCCACGATCAGTGTTGACAATGTCGCACTCGATGCGGCAAGGCAGGCCCTTCTCCAATGCGAGCTCCGACTCGGCAATCAGTTTGTTATCGAGGCGAGTGTGAAGACGGTGGTCTTGCTTGCGAACATTGTAGGTCGCAACGCCGGGTCGGAGTGAGTGGGCCGGTGTGAGAATGAGCGAGAGATCGATCCTCTCCTGCTTAGGGTGGGTTATATCGTCCCGGACCTTGAGTAGTTCTGCACGTCCAACCATCTCGTTAACAGTCCGGATGCCCAATCTGGCCATGATGGCACGCATCTCATTAGCAAGGTAATAGAAGAAGTTGATCACATGCTCTGGGGTACCCTGGAACTTCTTCCGCAGCTCAGGGTCCTGAGTGGCGATACCAACTGGGCAGGTGTTCAAATGGCATTTTCCTATTGAGGCATTAGCTGGACAAATTATCAAAAAGGAAAAAAGGAAAAAAGGAAAAAAGGAAAAAAGAGCATACTCATCATGATGCATCCCATGGCAATCAATGGGGTTGTAGCGAAGCCATATTCTTCGGCACCGAGCAAACAGGCAATGGCGAGATCGCGGCCAGTACGCAGTTGACCGTCGGTTTGGACGACGACACGACCACGCAGGTCGTTCAGAACGAGGGTTTGATGCGTCTCTGCCAGACCCAGTTCCCATGGGAGACCGGCATACTTAATACCTGTCCAGCGGGAAGCACCGGTACCACCATCGTGACCGGAGATAAGGATGTGGTCGGCCTTGGCTTTAGCAACACCAGACGCAACAATACCGACACCCACCTCGGAGACCAGCTTGACGGAGACGCGGGCACGAGGGTTGGAGCACTTGAGGTCATAGATGAGTTGTTTGAGGTCCTCGATGGAGTAAATGTCATGGTGGGGAGGCGGGGAGATCAGACCGACACCCGGTGTGGAGTAACGGGTGTGGGCAATCGGGCCGACGACTTTGTGACCGGGAAGCTCACCACCCTCACCGGGTTTGGCACCTTGAGCCATCTTAATCTGCAGCTCGTCGGCATCAGCCAGGTAGTGAGAGGTGACACCGAAACGGCCGGACGCAATCTGTTTGATGGAGGACCGCATTGTGTCACCGTTCTCAAGTCTCTTGCTACGCTCGGGATCCTCACCACCTTCTCCAGTGTTGGACTTTCCGCCCAGACGGTTCATGGCAATAGCCAGGGTGGAGTGAGATTCCATGGAGATGGACCCATAGGACATGGCACCCGTCACGAAGCGACGGACGATCTCAGTCCACGGCTCGACCTGGTCGATGGGGATCGGCGCCCGTTGCTCAAAGTCGAAGTCAAGCATGCCACGAAGAGTGCAGTTCTTGATCTTCTCATGTTCAGCCTTGGCATAAGCCTCGTACGACTTGTCGTTCTTTGTGCGCACAGCATCTTGCACATTGGCAATGGCGACGGGGTCGTTGACGTGTTCCTCGCCTCCATCACGCCAGTGATATTCACCAGTTTCCGCAAGACCTGGGACCTCGACGATCTCGCGGGATGGATAACCCGCTTCGTGGAACGCAAAGGCATCCTGGGCAATCAGTTCGAAGGTCACACCCCGGATACGGCTCGCCGTGCCCGCGAAGCAGCGGTCAATAACGCTGTCATCAATACCAAGGGCCTCGAAAATCTGTGCACCCTTGTAGGACTGTAGGGTTGAGATACCCATCTTACTCATGACCTTCAAGATACCACCGTCACAAGAGGCCTTGTAGTTTTCGATTATCTTCTCGTCTGAGATTTCCTTGCGGATCAACTTTTCTCGATTCATCTTGAGCATGCACTCCATGGCCAGGTAAGGATTGATGGCATCAGCACCATAACCAACCAGGACACACATGTGGTGAACCTCACGGGCCTCCGCGGTTTCCACCACAAGAGCAGCCAAA